GGATTAGAACCGGCACCCATATGGGATCCTGGCACATGCAAGGCAGGGACTTCAGCCACCAGGCTATCGCGCTGGGCCCAGTAAATCTTTTTTAAAAAGAAAGAAAGTTGAAAATTTGCTCTAGACATCCCCTGCACCAAGCTCAACAGATCCCTGTTTCATCACCTAACACAGTGAATTTTATATAGATATTCAATAAATATGTTATTTGTTAGAGACTATGTTCATCAGAGCAAGCACAAGATGAGTTGGGGATGCCTTGTAAAGTGGTCCAGCGCAGTGGTGGTTATTCATGAGGCCCTGCACCTGCATCAGCACTGCGTCAAAGCATGCTAGAATGCAGACAGTGGAGACACCTGCGTCCCATGTGGCTGTCTACTACACATGGAAACTTCTGAGTTCACGAATTCAGAGGTTATAAAATCAAGTTTGTATTATTCCTAACTGAAATTACATTTAAAAACATCAAAACATTTTGCAGAATGTCACACAGATCTCCCATATCAGATTATATAAAATGAAAATGGAGCTTTTTCAATTTTTTTTTTTTAAGATTTATTTATTTTTATTACAAAATCAGATATACAGAGAGGAAGATCTTCTGTCCGATGATTCACTCCCCAAGTGACCACAATGGCCGGTGCTATGCCAATCCAAAGCCAGGCACCAGGAATCTCTTCTGGGTCTCCCACATGGGTGCAGGGTCCCAAAGCTTTGGGCTGTCCTCGACTGCCATCCCAGGCCACAAGCAGGGAGCTGGATGGGAAGTGGGGCTGCTGGGATTAGAACTGATGCACATATGGGATCCTGGCGCATTCAAGGCAAGGACTTTAGCCACTAGGCCACACTTCCAGGCCCAGAGCCTTTTAATTGTAGACAGAAAATTTTGATTGTACATTAGAATCATGACTGCATGTATCTTTTTATACTGTACTCCCCTCAAATTTTCCACTTCTAATTCATGATTTTTTTCATTTTAAAATTTATATTCTTTATTTTCTAAAAGGAATTGTGAAGATACTTTATAAAGATATATACAATGTTACAACTAGTGGTTATCTTTAAAAAAAGATGAAAGACACTGGATAAAAATTTAAGTAAAACAACTTTTCCAAAGTTAATAGGAAGTAGAATTAAAAGGTCAGTTATTTTAGTGCAAAAGTTTTTGAAATTATACATATAAAGGGTCTTGAAAATGTTCATGGAAAATAACTTATTCTCCAGCTTTTTGTAAAGCTGTTGAAAGCCTCTGACATCTGTGGTGAAAAATGAAAACCCAACAAAGATTCATGGATGTGAGGCTGAATAAAGCAGATGTTAAGAAAATGAAAGGCAATTCCCACTGGGAAAAAAACTACTAGACATATATCTAACAAAAGGCTTGTATCCAAAATATTTAAAAGGACTTACACACACACTTCATCAAAGAAAAATTTTCAGTGACAAATGGTACAAAATAAAACCACAGTGAGATATTATTATACTACTCTGGAGTGGCTAAAATTATATTCATAATACCGAATTTTGGCAAGAACATAGTATAACTGGAACTGTCAGTTCTCAATGTTTGTAAATTAATGCACTTTTACTCTACTACCCGGGTGTTCCACTCGTATCAAGATGTTTACTCAAAAGAAAAGATTACATAAATGTTCATACCATTTTTATTCATAATAGACAAACTAGAAAGTTTTATAATTATGCTTACATAATCACATATACATAGTTGGTTTGGTAAGAAAACCGAATGAACTCTTGGTAAGTGGGACAACGTGGCTGACCCGGAGATGCATTAGCCTTAGACGGCTGCATTACAATATGATTTCCATTATATGAAGTTCTGATAGAACAAAAATGTGACAGAAAGCCTATTATTGGTAATTAGGATTAGGGATGGCAATTGTCTGCAAAAAGTAGGAGAAATTTGGGAGGGATAGAAATGTCTTAGATTTTAACTGTAGTGATAATTACGATACTGCATTTTTCAAAATGTATCAAACTGTACAGTTAAAATGGGCACAGAGCCGCCCTACTCTACTCTCAGAAGTGATACATGGATCCATTTGGTGCATACAAATACTCCAGAATTGGGAAGAAAATTTCTTCTCAAGGTTACTGCAGATGACAGAATTTTTTAGTTTCCTCATGATGACATCGTAGGATTAGAATTGTATTAAAGAGAAGAAAGGTGACCTAAGCAGAGGATCTAAGGTGGAAGTCTGAAGGGAGGTGAGACTCAGGGATAAGGTTAGATCGGAAAGTGAACGCCAACCGTGTGTGTCTTAGAGTTCTAGAATGGGGGATACGAGCTTCCGAGCGGATCAGTGTCTTGTCTTCAGTGCCTTTCCAGAGTTGAGAAACCATTCTTTAATGCATTAAACTTTATGGATTCCTGAATGAGTTAGCAACAGATCGTGAGCACATTTATAAAGCACACTTGAGGCTGCAGGAAGTAGAATTAGCGACGTTTATTGGGGGGCTGACAGTGCAGTGTGGTGGACCAAGCTTCCACCTGCAGTCTGGGAAGCTCCAGTTGCAATCCAGCTCCCTGCTTATGACCTGGGAAAGCGGAGTCAGAGGAGTCAAATGTCTAAGTCCTTGGGTCCTTCCACCACGTGGGAGACCCGCAGCAAGCTCTTGGTTCGCAGCGTCAGATGGGCTCAGCTCCGGTGCTCTGGTGCTGGCACTCATTGGGGAGTGAATCAGCACATGGAAGATCTCCCTCTCTGTGTCTCCTCTCTGCAACCCTGCCTTTCAAATAAGAATAATACTTTTTAAAAAGATGTTTATTGGCGCAACAATTTTAGAGCTCCATTTGTATGAGTGTTTTTCAGAAGGTTAGTAGAGAATGTGTACGTGCGTGGGTGTGGACATTTTTGTGAGTGTATCTTACATGTTTTCTTGAACTTTTTTAAAACTATCATAGAATAGGTCCTGGAACTTGCTTATTGCTTTTTGTGTTTTTTTTTAATTTTTTTAAAAGATTTATTTTTATCGGAAAGGCGGATCACAGAGAGGAAAGACAGAGAGGAAGATCTTCCGTCCGATGATTCACTCCCCAAGTGAGCACAACGGGCCGATGCTATGCCGATCCGAAGCCAGGAGCCTCTTCCGGGTCTCCCACGCAGGTGCAGGTTCCCAAAGCTTTGGGCCGTCCTCGACTGCTTTCCCGGGCCACAGGCAGGGAGCTGGATGGGAAGCGGGGCTGCCAGGATTAGAACCGGCACCCATATGGGATCCCGGGCGTGCAGGGCGAGGACCTTAACCACTGCGCCACCGTGCTGGGCCCACTTTTTGTGTTTTTTTAAGTAAAGTTTTTTTTTTTTTTTTCATGGGCAGAACTTAATGATGAAATAATAGGAAGTAGTGTCCACAAATGGAAGAAAAAATAAGGGAAAGTAACATTTATTCAACACACTGTATTGGTCACATACTATCTGCTTTCAGGATGCATGGTTTAGTCTTGGCGATAGATAGATAGATAGATAGATAGATAGATAGATAGATAGATAGATAGATAGATAGATATTTTCTTACCCTTGCTTTTGCAACTTTGAAGACGATCTCAGGAAGAGAGGTTGGAGTTGTAATAACGCAGGTACCACAAATGCAGAAGAGGCAGTATTCTTCAAAGATTGGTGAGGCCCTGGTTAAGTTAATACGACCAGGAATGTGTGCCCGTTAGTCACACCCAGAGGTGGCAGGAAGGGGGAAAGAATCTGTATTATTACTGCCCAGCTCACAGGTTAGTTGGTGACCCTGGAAGTGCCTAGAAATGCGATATTGAGAGTTAGCAAAAATGTATGCTGGGTGGTGACTTCTAGTCTTCAGAGTCCTTAAAAACAAGGTTTAGCCTCATGCAGATTATCAATAATTTTTTTTATTAAAATATATGTTGCTATTGATCAGCTTTTTGTTCTATAACAAAATAGATGAGACAAGCAAACTTTTGAAAGACGCTTACCTTGGTCCATGCTTCTGAGATTCACCCTCTAAGACCAGCTGGCCTGCACCGGTTAGCCGCTGGTGCTGAGTCCCAGGGTGACACAGGGCTTCCCACACCAGGGGCACTCATCTGTGCACATCCATCTGTGCTCTCTGCCTCCAGTAGCCCACCAGGATCCGATTTATCTCTCTGTAATCTTAGTCACTGCCCAAGGGCTTACCTCTAAACTCCGTAATTGAGTTACATTTCCACCCTATTGGAACCACAGCAACATCGTATCATAGCTGTAGTTCTCAGTGCTTATATTTTAGAAGTAAGAGTTTAAAAAATGAATACATCCTTTATTATCTCTCCCTAGGATTTGTTACTCACTACACAAAGTGATATCAGCTTGGTAGCGGTGTTTTTCAGATTACTTTTTTTTTTTTTTTACATTTCCTGAGATGTGTTAGCATTGTTTTACTATGGGCCCGGCGCAATAGCATAGTGGTCAAGGTCCTTGGCTTACGCGCACCGGGATCCCATATGGCACCGGTTCTAATCCGGGTGGCCCCAGTTCCCATCCAGCTTCCTGTTTGTGGCCTGGGAGAGCAGTCGAGGACAACCCAAAGCCTTGGGACCCTGCACCCATGTGGGAGACCCAGAAGAGCTGCTGGTTCCTGGTGCCTGGCTTCAGATTGGCTCAGCTCCAGCTGTTACGGCCACTTGGGGAGTGAACCATCAGATGGAAGATCTTCCTCTGTGTGTCTCCTCCTCTCTGTATATCTGCCTTTCCAATAAAAATAAATAAATCTTAAAAAAAAAACCACATTGTTTTACTGTGTGTCTAACAGTAAAGGATCAATGTTGATTTTGTTTTTGTGCGTAGTGAGGTATGGTGAGTAATGAATAGAACAGGTTTTCCTAAATTGTTTGTACATGTAGTAGGTCTTAACGAAATTATTCTATTCTCCTTAATTCTTTTCTTTCAAAAAGCAGATTAGCTCTGGATTAATTGCCCTTGTTTTACATTTGAACACTTAATCTTACGTGGTTCTGTGTGTGTTTTCAACAGCGACTCTTTCCTTGCACACCAAGAGAGCATGCGTCAGATGATGAGGAGTTTTTCTGAACCCTTTGGCAGAGACTTGCTCAGCATCTCTGATGGGAGAGGACGGGCCCGTCAGCACGGGAGGCGCGATGACAGTGCAAACTCCTTGACCGTAAGTCTTACGTATTTATGTATTTATTTTCAAGACAATGAGTGATGTGTTCCAGAAACCTGGAGAAAGAGTTACAGAAGTGAGTGTAGATTTATGATAAATACTATGTTACAGAACTGGCTGTTACATAAAAAGAAAAATGGCTGGAAAGCTGAATTCTGGGCCACTGGATTGTTAGCTTAAAGAGTTCTACTCTGAAAACGGAACGTTTAGGGCCACAGGGATAGTTCTTAGAAGACAAACTTAAAACATGAATTTTTTCATGTGTAAATGCCTCTGACTTTATAACTTCTTATGTCTTAAATTAGAACAGCCAAAGAAGTGCCTTCTTGACCCAGACTCAAAAGTACTTCACAGTGGGGGTATCATGCTTTGTCCTCGTTGGGTCAGGAAGCCGCATCTTCTGGGTGCCTGCAGCTATCAAAGCTTTGATTAACCCTGAGCTGTTTCAAACGCCTTGACAATTTCAGCGTATTTTTGTGTCTGAGAGCAAAACTGGGTGATTACAAGCTCAGCTCAACAAAACGATGAAATCTGGATACTTATTTTTCCTAATCACTTCCCTTTTTTTGCCTCTGTTCTTTCTCCTTATCAGGAATATCGTTTGTAGAATAACAAATTCAGGGGGGGGATTCTATAAAAATCTCTACAATTAAAATGTAGATATTGGAACTCTGTTAACTCAGTTAACTGGAACACTGGATTACTCAATTAGGAAACTTTTTCGGATCTTCCAGAAAAACATTTGTATATTTTCTGTTTGCAACAAACTTAAAAAGAACAAAATACTTAGATTCACCTGTGAAGTTTGATGAATAAAATTACATTTTCCATTTAAAATGATGATAATCTTAATCTTCACATTTGTTTTATACATGAGTGTACCTGAGCAAGTTCCTGGAAAACTGGAATTAAAAATAAAATGTTTGAAATCTGTTTAGTTTTTTCAGCATATACATTTTCCATGACCTTTTCGAAGTGCTCTCATCTGCTTACAAGCACCGTGTTCAAATGGCCACTTTTGTCTTTCCAGTAGTAAATAGTTGGTATCAACATATATATTTGTGTGTGTGTGTGTATATATATATATATATGATTTCTACTTTCATGGCTTATTAGCTTTCATAAAAGTTTAAAACTTAAAAAAAAGTTTAAAACTTGTGCAGAAGAACAGTTATTAGAGTGGACATAAAAACCATAATTAAAAATTTTATATTTATCTGCTGCAACTAAAGCAAAGAAAATATGTTTAGCTCTTTATACTTGCACACAAATAGGCTTAGCTCTTATGAAAGAAGCAAGAAGTGGAGCCTTATCCCATAATTGTGAGTGTAGAAAAGAGACCTTATTATGATTCAACTGGAAGTGTCTTACTGAAGACCACACATCAGCCAGAACTCTGCTGGTCACCCAGCCAACAGAAGTGTTTCTTGCCTAGGCGCTTGTGTTTAAAGCACTGAGTGTTGTGACAAGATCTGATATAAATATTAATCAGCCAAATTTCTTTGAAACTGTTGTTTGCAAAATTTAAATTTGGAACGGTTAGCGCTTTAGCATACTTTGAATTACATTTGCCTTACCAAATAGCTCTAAATCGAGTGTTGCAGATTATGAAGAAAGCTAACAGCTGAAGCGATAAGGTTGCATAATTAAGATAATTGAGTATGAAAAGGCAAGTAGGAAAACAATTCCAAATATAAATATCAAGAGCAACATTTGAATGAAAAACCAAAATAGTTCTTGTTGTTGTAAATGAACACCTATAGCAAATTTCTTCATGCTGAGCCTCGGCTTATAAAAGTTTGTTTTTCAGAGTTCAGGGAACTGGAGTCCCAGATGAAATGCTGATGAATTCACTGTCTGCTGAGGGCTGGCACTCTTGCTTCATAGATGGCACCATTTTGCTTTGTCTTGACAGAAAGACTGAAAGAGCCAGCGGGCTCCTGTGGGAAGCCACCAGTCCCGTTCATGAGGGTTCTGACACTGTGGTCATCTCTGCTAGGCCCGCCTCTCAGTACTAGGATGCTGAGTTACCTTTCAACTTGTGAGAACGGAAAGGTTCCACATGTGCACTGCCCAGCATGCTAGTCACCAGCCACATTGGTCTTGAGCACTTAAAATATGCCTGGTATCCATCAAAAAAGAAAGTAAATAAATGGGATGGTATTGATTGGAAAACTTCTGTAAAACCAAGAAAAAATTTTAATAGAGAAGCAGCCTACATAATGGGGTGAAATGCTTGCGAGCCATAATGAAACAGGCAGCTGGATAGGACTGGGGAGACCAGTTTTTATGCAGGATGGCTTAACTGTGTGCCAAAATTCCTAGCCCCTAAAAGGTACTTTTTTAAAACATGAAATGTTAATAATTTATTTGAGGGATGCACAGACACACAACGGACACGGTTGTGCTGTGCCAAAGCTGAGTGCAAAAGGCTCAGTTCAGGTTTCCCTCACGAATGGCGGGAGCCAGATCACTTGCGCCATCTCTCCTGCCTTCCAGCGTCTGTGTTAGAGCAAGTTGGAAATACGAGCTCGAGCCAGGCTCTCCAATGTGGCTGCTGATGTCTAACGGATGTCTGAACCTCTGGGGCAAGTCATGCCAGCCCGGGAAATTAACTTTAAATTCCTCCATGTGTCTAGTGGCTACCTCAATGGATGACATTATCATAGGCACTCAAATAGACAACTACACACATTTAATTTAGTTTTATTTTTAAACAATAGGAAGTAAAGAGCACACATCTGTATATGAACCTGTGATCTTTATGTCTTCTATAATAATCATCTCTTTAATATTTCTCCAAGAAGAATTGCAATATTCTTCCTGTATACCTATTACAAGAAAGTAAATGGTAGTACGACATTGGATCTTGCAGTCGCGTGCCTAAGTTCAATATCTGGCTCTGCTCCTGACCCTGGCTTCCTGCTAGTGTAGCCCTGGGAGGCAGTGGGCCTCTCTGAAGTGAATGAATTCCTGCTATGCAAAAAGAGGATCTGAGTGGGCTTCCTTGGTTCCTGGGTTAGCCCCGGGAGGAGAGTGAGAGCATGGCTCCTTGGTTCCTGGGTGAGCCCCGGGAGGAGAGTGAGAGCATGGCTCCTGGGTTCCTGGGTTAGCCCCCAGGAGAGTGAGAGCATGGCTCCTGGGTTCCTGGGATAGCCCCCAAGAGAGTGAGAACATGCCGGGAGTCAGGCAGCAATGAAGACTTTTTCTCCCTGCGCCTCTCAAATAAAAATAATTTTTAAGGCACAAATGGTAATTTTTTTACTCTATCAGATCTAGACTAGCCTTTTTATGAAACCTTGACTATAAATCTCATAGTACCACTCAACTCTAAAATTGTTCCAATATAGATTTTTCCTTATTACATTGCATCAGCTTTCCTAAAATGCTAACACCAATGCATTTTTTCTCTTGTTCAAACTATGAAAATCTTTTGCTAACTATGATCAGAGCGTTGTTCTAGGGAAATAATTTTTAAAATGCAAGCTTTTCATCTTGTGGCAAATTTTCAGTGCAACATCCACCCTCTCTTTTGAGAAGAATTCATTTTTTCTGTATATCTCTATTTGTCCTTGCCGATATGACTTTGCTTTTTCCCCTAGTATGTTTTGTAGTTGATACATTTGTATCTAAATATGAAGACTATCTATAGGAACAAAACTAATTACTTAAAACAAGCAACAATTGTGGCAAAAACCTATATTCCTATCTGACTTTTCTAATAGAATTTTATGATTGTGTGAATGTGGGACCAAAAGTTAGAAATTGATCACAAAAAATGTAAAAAGAGTAAAAAAGATTAACAGCAAGAATACAATAAACTTTTTGAGTAAAACTCTCTTTGAGTCAACTTGAGCTTCTAGAACATAAAACAAAAAAACTTATAATGAAGATTTTTCTTTTCTATTCCTGTGATGTTTTAAAATGAGTGTTTTATTTAAGCAGTGAGTCAAAATGCTAAGCTTTTAAGCATAGTGAGTAAAAAAATCCTAATTGCGTTTGGACACCTTGATACTTCTGTCTTTATTTTGACCAATTTTGAAAACTTGTCATCTGTATCAGCCGTATTTTGGGCCAAAAAAAAAAAAAAGAGAGACTTGTGCTAAAAGCAGTAGCGTCAATGATGCCATTTTCTTGTGTGTGTGTTAATTAGTGTTTCTTTTGTCCATGATTCTTTATATTTCTCAGTTCATTTTGTAAAGAGCTGTTTAAAGATGTGTAGTGTATGTGTTTCACAATGTGCCTTATAATTCAGCTAACAACCAGAGCCAACCTAAAATCTGTTCCAAGTAGGAATTCTGTTCGTGCAGCCAATACACTTTGGACACCACTGTTCTAGATGTACAGTATGTACCGAAATAAGCTTGCTTTTTAATAATTTTTCTGTTTTAGTTTTTCTGTTACGTCTGTGCTTTCCCCTTATTTCACTGTTGCTACCAGATGTCCTTGTTTTCTGGTCCTGGAATCCGACCTGGACACATGCTGCTAGTGGACCCGCTTCTTAAGGCTGCTTGGCTACGATAGCTCCTCAGGCCTTCCCTGTTGGCTTTTGCTTTGCAGCCTTGACACGCTGGAGTTTGTGGGCAGGTATTTTGCAGAATGTGCCTCCACTGAGATTTCTATGCTGTTTTTGCCATGACTAGAGCGAGGTTATGGATTTGGTGGGCAGGCCTCACAGGTAGATGTGAGTTTCATCACAGCAGGGGGCATGCTGTTAACATGACCTGTCACTGCTCTCCTCCGTCACCATGCTGGACCCACAGCCGTCAGGGTGCTCCCATCCCCTCCCATGTGACGTTCCTCGGAAGGAAGTCCCCAAGCACAGTTCCCACAGACAGAGTGAGGTTGTCCATTAAACCACTTGGAATTTTTCTGCACAGAACATTTGTCTATTCTCTCCCAGGTGTTAATAACTTATTTCTACCACTATACACACATGGATATTTCTTAGGTAGCTTGGATTATAATATAATATGGCTTTTTTGTTGTTTTTTAATTGTTTAAGCTTCTATAAACAATTAAGCTCAATTCAGAATTATGCCATGCCTCGTGGTATTTAAGCAATAGCTTTGCTGACTAGAGGCTTCTTCCGTCAGCTCCTTTCTGTGACACACCACCTGTCACTGTCACTATTTAAGTGCTTCATTTTTTGTGGCACAAAATGTTGCAGGATCATCTTGTGTATTTCCCGCTTCAGTTCTAGAATCAGTTTTCATTCCAAGAAGCCTTGATCCCTTTCACTGGAAACTAAGATCTAGGTACTGTTTCTATTCTAGTTAATCTCAGGCCAAAAAATTGCCAAGAAAATTGTTTCACTCTGGCTGGCCTGAGGTGAATGGGGGCTAATCTCTTAAAGTAGTTTTTCTTACAGAAAAAAAATGAGTGAAATCATTCAAAATAAACCAAACATGCAAACTCGTTTCATCATAAACCAAGACAAACCAGTACGTTTGCAGTATTGTAAACCAGTCCAACATAAACAGCGGAATTACAAAAGGATCCCCAGAAACTCATTCATTGGGGATTATCAAAATACCAATAGTGTCTTTGATTTTCCACATAACAGGCACACACATCATGATAACACACATCATGATATACCAAAAAATTTGTACCTGATATTGGAGGGACATACATGTCTGTCTATTACATGATCATAATTCTAATACAGATGGTCATAGGTAATTCCCCATTTTCTTGTTCCAAGGATTAGCTTGTGAATAGTGTAAAATCCCACACTCCACAACCTGTAAAGTTCAACATAAAAGATCCATTCTTAGGCCTGGCACTGTAGCCTAGCAGCTCAAGTCCTTGCCTTGCACGTGCCGGGATCCCACAAGGGTGCTGATTCATATCTTGGCTGCCCTGCTTCTCATCCAGCTCCCTGCTTGTGGCCTGGGAGAGCTGTGGAGGATGGCCCAAGGCCCTGGGACCCTTCACCCATGTGGAAGTCCTGGAAGAAGCTTCTGGCTCCTGGTTTTGGATTAGCTCAGCTTTAGGCGTTGCAGCCTCTTGGGGAATGAACCAACAGGTGAAACATTTTTCTGTATCTCCTCTCTGATTATCTGACTTTCCAATTTAAAAAAAGAAGAAATTAAAAATATTTAAAAAAAAAAAAAGATCTATTCTTAAGACAAGCGTTGCCCAGAATGGATTATTTCTTTTCTACACGTTGTGGTGCTGGTGACAGGGACTGTCCTGTGGTTTCCACCTTTTAATAATGTTTTCTACAAGCTTATTGTCAATGCAAGAGATCAAGCGACAGAAGAGACACACATACACTCCCATCTGCTGGCTCACTTCCTAAATACCTTCCAAGGGCTGCATAGAGGCCGGTGCTGGGAGCCAGGAACCCCATCTAGGTCTCCTGCGGAAGTGACAGAAATCTAGTCCCTAGCGTTACCACCACTGCTTGCTAGCTTCCGCACTGGCAGGAAGGTGGAGCCGGAAGCTGGAGCTAGGAACTGAAGCCAGACCTTGTACTGTGGGATGTAGACATTCGAACGATCTTAGCCATCTGACTGCTCACCCACCACTCCGTGCAGCTTGGGCTTTGGAAGTGCCCTGAGCATAGACCCTGTAGTCGGAAATTCAGTGTTCGGGATTTATAAATAATGGAAGCTTTAAAATTGTGTACATCTAAAATTTTTTTATTCACCTGGACCTATTGAAGAATATAAATATATTATTCATTAATTCGATTATTCCATCTGATTCTTAATATTATTTTGCCTTTGGAAGACACAAAATATGTTAAATTTTCTATATATGAACCTTTCTAAAGCCTGTATTAATTTCTTATTCCTGTAGTCTAAAGAGGTATTATTAGATTTTCCCCAATATCTCCACTAATATTTGGAAATTTTATTCAGGTAATTTAAAGATATTTAATTGTTTACAGGTAAGGTTAACTGATCTTTTGAAAATATGGGTTAGCTGGGCAAAGGAAAAATGACTTAATCATTACATCTTTTCAATGAATTTTGAGATGAATTTGTATTTCCTTTTACTCATTTTTATCTTAAATCATGCCAAATACTTTTCCTTTTGAGCTTCCTGTAATAAATACTGGAGTGCTCATATTTTCAAGTGATATAAGGCTTCCCTATTTTTCTGTCAAATTCTATAATGAGTAATAAGCATATAACTTACATATGCATGTATATGGTCAGTTTTGATTAAAGGCTCTTTAACTTTGGTAGCCTTGAGCTGTGCGCTAATGTAGTGCATTCATTTGTTTATTCTTTTTTGTGGTATATTTCCTTTTCAGGATTATTATGTAATAAATATCATAGTCAAAAATTAATTGACTGTATTTTTTTTTTAGGCAATGAGTTCCCTTGTACCTTTCAGCAGTTTTTATGGCATGGTTCGTATCATGAAACAGAACAATTTTCTGGAAAATATTTTTCATTAACTCAAGCAGCTGAATTGGCATGCAGCTCACTAACTTGCATATTAGCTTTTGGGTATTTGTACTGAATGCTTCTTTCATGTTAAATATATCTTTTTTTCCAATTTATGTTTATTAAGCACATTGCATGTTACATAATACATTACACAGACTTCTGACAGGGTTAGACGGCCTTAATTGCATTTTTTTGTTTTTTCATCATTTGGGAAAATGCTTCTTTAAACAATGTTCTCCAAACCCTTTGTCACATAGGGATGATGAACTCCAGAGATGTGTCTCTCTTTCCAACAAACTCCAGTGATAACACAAATGAGCAATCCTTTTTTCGTTGCGCCTGTTGTATGCAGTGGCCATTCCGGAGATGCTCAAGCACACGGCTGTGATGGCGACTCCGGGCCAAATCTCGAACCACATCGCAGCACGGCTACCTAAGCCAAAACGCGGCTTGTAGGTCCCTAATGGTGACCAGGATTGATGTTAAATGTATCTTACGAGTTTTCTCAAGGAAGTCACATCAACACAAGTAAAATCAGTCTTTGAGAGTAGAAAATATAGATGAACATTTGCTTGATGTACCCAAAGGATGCCCATTGTTGTGTCTGAAAGCATGGAACTTCCACATGCTGATAATGACTTTCAAAAACTGAGAGAGCTTCGCACTGCAGGTAGATCAGCAGCAGTGCTTAGAGCAGCTGCCCTCGCTACATGCCCCACGTGCCCATGCTGCGTGCCCGCATCACAGCAAGGGAGGGCTATGCCTACCTGCATTGCTCCCATCTGGGGCTTTGCACCTGTGACTATGATGCAGGGTTCAAAAACACCGAAAGCCTCTGAGAACTAGCAGAGAATAGCATGAACTTGGAACTTTTATTATCCACACTGTCATGAAAGGTTTCCGTGTGTGTGTGTGTGCACTAGCACTAGACACATTAGAGTATACTTGGAAGGGAAAATTAGAAAATAATTCATATTTTTCTATGAACTTGTTAAGGATCCCTTTGTATGTTTGTCTCTTCTGACCAGAGTTTATAGTGGACACATAATGAAGAAAATTTTATCCCAGAATTATCAATGAAATGGTCAGGAACATTCAATATTTGGTGAAAGTACTTAATATGGATCCTTCAGGTGGGGTAGGTTGAATGGAGGTCAGAGAAGACTTCCTGAATTTTAAGGATTAGTAAGGAGTTAACCAAGAAAAAATATAAGTGAAACGAACAGCATACAATACAAAGAAAACAGCATGTACAAAGACCCTGGAGCCTGGGGTGCTGAAAGATGTTTGGGGCCGCTTGGCTCCAGAGTAGGAGGTGGACAATAATTATAAATGAAAGTGAAGGAGGTAAGCAGAGACTTTCTGAGGCTGTCCCAAGGAGTGTGACACTGTTTAGAAGCAGGGAAGTGACTTTGACCAAAGGATTCGGAGTCAGATTCTCATGAAAACCAACAGGCTCCGGTTTCTAAGGGAGTCACTGGAAGCAGAGTGACCAGGAGGCTCTGGGAGCATCTGCACTAAAGCCCTTAGTGATGACTTTGACTTGGTAATGCCATGGTGATAAGGACAAATGTCATATTGAAGAGTGAGCGAAGAGGCGAGTGGCCAGCTCTTGGACATTGACTGGGTGGAAGGAGCAGTTATGAACAGGGAGAAAGTATAAGCCTGCTACTCTGGCATGAGGAGGCAGATGGATGGGAATGCCACTGAACTAAGGAAAAGAGCATTGACTCCGAGTAGATTTGAGTGAAAGTGACCAGAATGACCATTTCAGTTTGGGATATGTTGCTTCAGTTTTGGATTTAAATGTCTGTGGATTGTCCAGGTGGATTTATCGGGTACACGGATGAATGTATAGATTTGAGCTTAGCTAGGAACAGTTTGTTCACTCATTTGGCAAATGTTACTGAGCTGTCCTATGTGCAGAAATTATTTTTTAAATATCAGAAGTCTAACAATAAAAAACACAAGATGGAGTTATCCTCACGACTAATTTTATAAAGTGAAATGGTGAACAATAGATGTGGATACAGTTTCAGATAGCCACAGTACCCGGAATGTGATGGAACAACATGATGCTCTAGAGGCAAAGCAGGTGGTGCAGGAAGGAGGCTGCGGTGCTTAGATGATGAAAAGGGGACCACTATACTAAAATCAGGAAACAACACTCAGAGAGTGTGTGTGTTCCCAAGTCCCCAAGGCCGTAGGGACTTACTGGAGTTTAGCTCCAGTTCGTATCCCTGTGTCTTAGTTATTCCAGGCTCTTGGGCCACCACAGTCATTACAACACAGACATCTTATGGTGACAAGTTTGAAAGTAAATGGAGAGAGCAGATTATACTCAAACCTCTCATCTCTTCTCTTTGTACTCCTCCTTTGGGCTAACCTTCTCATCTCTTTAACTATATCTAAAATAGTCTGTGATTCTCAAGCTAATACTGAAACAATGTCTTCAGAATATTTTTTCAGATGTGTTGAATCTCTGAAATGCAAATTAATTTCACTTCAGTTTTTTGTGTGCCCAAAAATATATATCAGTATCTCCTTAACTGTGCCTCTTCTTATTCCCTACCACCTTAAGTTCAGGTCCTGAAGAGGAATTCGGGTTTCCCAGATATTTCTTAGTGTTATTGGTAGAACCAAATGGAAGGCAGAGCTACAAAGACCTTTGATAATTCTTTATTAAGGCCCAGCTCCGCACGAGGACCAAAACAAGAGCATTGAATCATAATGCTATATAGGATTGGTGAGATTGCTCCTGCTGGAGGTATTCCTTGAACAAAGCAATTCCTGTTAGTGGTAGTAGCAGTACTTTAGAACATGTGCTCCACTCTTCATTTCTGGTGAATATCCTAGTGATGCAACCCAATGTTAAGCCTGCCCCACGGGTTTGCAGGCTAAGCCCCTTCCTGTGGCGCCAGCATCCCTTAAAAACACCATTTCAAGTCTGGGCTGCTTCATTTCCCATCCAGATCCCTGCTAATGACCTAGGAAGATTATCCAAGTCCTTGGGCCCCTGTACTCAGGTAGGAGACCCGCAAGAAGCTCCAGACCTCAGACAAGCCCGGCTCTGGCCAATGTGGCCATTGTGGCTACTTGTGGAATAAGCTAGTGGATGCAAGATATTTGTCTGCCTCTCCTTGTCTGTTCTCTGCCTTTGAAATAAAAAATAAATCTTTAGAAATAATTCTAAAATCCATAAATGGTAGACTTTTCTGAAGCAGTTTCTTGATCTCAGCATTACTGATGTTTAGGGTCAGATAATACTTTGCTCTGGGAGGTTATCCTAAGTCTCCCCACTCACTGATCTTAATTTCCCTCTGTTGCAACAACTGAAAATGCTGGTAATTATTGACACATGTCTCCCAAGGCCACTGTTCTAGAGGAAGTCTTAACTGCTTTTCTGAAAGAACGTTCCTCATACTCCAAGGGTATGACTCTCTGCTCCTTTAACAGGCAGCAAACTGAATGCCTGTTGGCAGAATAAGTTGATCTCTGTCATAATCTGGAGCTTATAATGATGACAGGAAAACCAGTCACTGGAATAGGTGACTACCAAGGGCCTTTTGGATATTTATAACATCATTTGCAGGCCATACAAAGTCATCAGTTTAAAGACTAGCCTGTTAGATTTATTGGATTCCCACCCGGCTTTGCCTGTGCTTGCCTTAGCAGGGCCCAGACCAAATAATTTTGCAGCCCAGTTGTTCCAACCCTGTGTCAGAAGGATGGCTGCCATTGGCCATATGGCCATGGGTGCATGGGTGCATGGGTGCAATAGTAGCATCTAATTCCCAGATTGTGTTATTTGCATGGTGGGAAATTGAGAGGCAAGAAGGAAATATTTGAAGACTGTCCTGTTCTGGAGCTGGTCTGGTCCAGAATATACCACTCAGTATTTAATATCAACCAGAATCTAAGGAAACTGACCAGTGATGTATGCAAATATATCTATGTACTTGCATGTTTGTGTATAGGTATGTGTGCATATATATATTCATACATATGTAAATGTTGTTATAATATTACAATTCTCTAATCATATGTTTATAGCTTCATTTGCTTCAATTTTTTCTTTAGCAAATAATTTTCATAATGTAGTAATTAATTTATTTTTGCCTGATGGATTACTGCATGATATCCCAGTGAATGAATTGGGGGAAATTTTTCAGCTGTTTTGGGAAAACTGATGTGCTTTCTTTTGTGTTGTACTTGTAGTTAATAACGTACTTCCTAATATCCTGTAGCGTACAGATGTCAACCCTTTTCAGGCAATGGACCGAATGATGTCAAATATGAGAAACAGTATGCAGGAATTACAAAGAAACTTTGTAAGTACTAAAAGTAAAGTGATAACTTTGATTTCAGTTATTGATATTCAGTATATTGGTTTTTAACCATTATTTTAGTCACAATTGACAGTACTAAAAAAACACATCATGCACCGTTAACTCATGCTCACTACTTGTATGCCTTACACATGCACCTGAAACACAAATTTCATGAGAAAATAAGTATGTTTTGATTTTTGGATTTTATTTCATGTTTTGAAATCCTGATCCCAGGGCAGGTGTCGCAGCATAAGCAGGTTCAGCTGCCTTTTAGGACATGCCCCATCTCATCGGAGGGCCATTGGGAGCGCTGGTTCCTCCACTTCTGGTCTGGTTGCCTCATGGCTTGCGGAGGCAGCAGGTGGCGCCCTGGATGCCTGGATCCCTGGCACGTGGTAGATCTTAGCTCCAGCCTGGCCAGCCTCCACTGGATGCAGGCGTGAGAGTGAACCAGGAAGTGGGAATCTCTCTGTGCATGTTTGTGGGTCTACAGGCTACTCTTCTCATTTTCTCTCTTTCTGCCTTTCAAATAAGTAAAATAATAAATCGTAAAATATCTTCGTCATATCCCACTAAGTTGATATCACAGCCTACAAGTTTAAACAAAACAGTAGTTACCTTTCAAAATAAAATTTTCAAAATTTAGCATCAAAGACCTTTCTTCCGCTGAAAGTCAGTATTGCTAATGAAGATTTTATACAAATAAATTTGCATATTTTATTTCTTTGTAACTGTGAAAGGATGTGTAGCATCTAAGAAATTAACTGTTAGCATTAAAGAAAATATCTTAAAGCAGAAATTTTAGTAATGATGTTTAGGTGCTAGATTGAGTTGGAGCCGTGTGGTCAAATTACTACGTATGGTACTAATATCCTTCCTTTTCTACTTAAAATATTTACATCAAAAATAATAACTTGATTTTATCTGAAGAAAGCCTGTATCATTCTAATTATCCAGCTTATATTCTATGAGTCTTCTAAGAATGTCCAAATCTAGGACTATATTACTAATAATTTTAATAATATAGCAGTACAGTATTCACTGAAAATATAGAACTTCTTGGTATGTGGCCAAAATGACTTGACCTTGGAAAGATTACACTCAGGGGTCAACCACTAACTGTGGAAGCATCACAGAGCGTCTTTATTTAAACCTAAGCCACAGGTATTTAAGGATCTCTGAGTAAATTATTTTTCTCAACAGAGAATAAGAATTGCTATCTGAAATGGAAGAGGATTAGGGCTGTCTACCGTATGGATACCCTATTTTGTTAGTGTGGTATCCATAGAATTCATAGCTAGTTTGTTATTTAAATCATCTGGCATAATTATTTGTGTTTGACTAGCCTGTGAACTTACAGCTTCTCTTTACTTGTAGGGTAATCTTTCAGTGGATCCACATGGACATTCATTTTGTTCTTCTTCAGTGATGACTTACTCCAAAGTAGGGGATGAACCACCGAAAGTTTTCCAGGCCTCGACTCAAACCCGCACGGCTCCAGGAGGAGTAAGTGTTTACTAAGGAGTTTTCAAGGTTGATAAAGTTGTGGGATGATAAATTGTTTCTATCAGATTGTAACTATTGAAATGTGATCTGGTTCCGCAGCAGCAGGGCAGTCATCATTATGAAAGCCATAAGCCCCACTGTATTTACCTTAAAGTCCCCCCACCGTGAGGGCATCATCTTTCACATAAATATCTATTCATGTTAATTACCATCTTATGTTTATGAGATAGACACTAGAAGAAGCATTTGTTTTGTGAAATATCTTTATACTTGAAGTTTTTTGAACTCATGAAAACATACCACCAAGTACATAGAAGGATAGAATAATATAGTGATACGGAATGAGTAAACACATATCTGCCAACTAGTTTAACCAAATTATTTACTATCCTCTATTTACTTCAAATTGTCTCATCTTGTTTTAAGTAAAAATATGACAGGTAATTTCCCGTGTACTCCTCCAAAGTCCTTTTCACTTTTCCCTCCGTATTTTCTATCTCTGTAGTTTTCATTCTCATTTTATTTATATGTATATCATAAAATGGATTATTTCTGTAGGTGTTTAAACATCATAAAAATGGTATCATATTGCGTGTGTCCTCTTAAACCTGCCTTTACTCTACCACGCTTCTGAAATTTATTGAAGTAGATACTTGAAGCCCTGGTTTCTTCAAGTTCTGTAATGGTACCCAAAATATGAGTATTCCACAAACTTTTGCCTCTTTTTACATTGATACAGGGTGGGTGTGCCCTCATCTTTCTCTGGAATTATCCAGTGATGAAAAGCATTGGCTCCCAGACATCCTGTGGTGTGACTGTTGCCATTTCTTGCCTTCGTTGTTAATACTTACAGTAAAATTTTATGTTTTTCATATTGAATGAGAATTGGTTCATTTCTTAGTTATTACGTATAAATGTACTTTTTAATGAGGCTTTGTTATAGTTCAGCTAATTCAGCATGTATATTTTATGTAACAAAGTTTTAAATATAAGCACTGTAACTGTGGCATATTGCGTTAAGTCTGGTTGTCACAAATGTTTTTTGAAAAAAGATTTTATTTTTATTGGAAAGTCAGATTTACAGAAAGAGAGACAGAGAGATGGCTCTTCTTCCTTCTACTGGTTCACTCCCCAAGTGGCCACAATGGCCAGAGCTGAACCAATCTGAAGCCAGGAGCCAGAAGCCTCCTTTGGGCCTCCTTTGTGTCTCCTATGTGGGCTCAGGGTCCCAAGGCTTTGGGCTGTCCTCCACTGCTTTCCCAAGTCACAAACAAGGAGCTGGAAGGGAAGAGTACTCAGGAACCAGCGCCCATGTGGGATCCTAGCATGTGCAAGTCAAGGACTTCAGCCACTAGGCTACTGCATAGGACCCTGTCAAAATATTCAAATAACACTTTCATAGATTTGATGAGGGAACAGTGAAATTCAAGCCTGACACCATGAGTCATTCATAGGATTGCCAGCACAAACGTGTTACATATTACATTGTCAATAACAGTGTTGAAAACAGGGCCAACATATTACCCTGTCAATTCAGTGTTTTATTTTTCTTTGTCTTGATTATATGATTACTGTTTAAAGGAAAGCTAAATTGTATTGTTTCTATTTGTCCTAGACATTTCCGTTTTAAGCAGTTCAGAAACTATTATAGCTATTAGCACGATTTTATTGCAAGTTCATACTGGAGCTGTGCCCATTGTCTGTATAGCAGAAGGTGCATGGTCTTCCTCAGGAGGTGAAGAGACCCTCTGCAACTTAGAATTCTGTTTCTTCTATAAATATTTAAATAATGATAAAACAATTTTCCATTTCTTAATTTTTACAGATAAAGGAAACCAGGAGAGCAATGAGAGATTCTGACAGTGGACTGGAAAAAATGGCTGTTGGTCATCACATCCATGACCGAGCACACGTCATCAAAAAGTCAAAAAACAACAAGACTGGGGATGAAGAGGTCAACCAGGAATTCATCAATATGAATGAAAGTGAGTTATCACAAAAACCGTGTCCTCTGAGCTGAACTTCAAGCAACAGTTCACCTGTAGACCTTGATATTTTCGTAGAAATATTTAATACAATTCATGAATAATAAAGGAATGTTGGGAATACCTTGTAGAGCAATATTAATTCATTGTATATCTGCTTTGTTTCTTACAGTGACTTTTGATAATATAAGGTGGTGTTTAATTTTTCTTATTTTATACTTGGGAAACAGAATCTTGAAATATTATTTAGTAATACTAGCAATAGCCAAAAAACTAGTTTGTAAATATTTTTCCAATTATCAAGTAAGTATATTTGAAAAGTATAAAAAAGAAAATAAAGCCATCCATGATACCAACCCCAAATCATCACGTTAATGTTTGTGTTTTTCTAATTGCTTTATGTAGATTTGTAAACACACATACTTTTTTCAAATTAATATATCACTGTGTAGTTTCCATTGTGCTTGTTTTATTTTAATTGTGAAGTTTCTTAGGATGTTATTTTTTTATTTTGAATGGAACAATTTATTTAAACACCTTTATAAATGATTTTCTTTTTGTGTGCCCAAGAAGAAGAATAGAGAGGGCCCTGCATGCTGGCCTAGTGGCTAGGGTCCTCACCTTGGATGCACCAGGATCCCATATGGGGACCGGTTCTAATCCCTGCAGCCCTGCTTCCCATCAGGCTCCCTGCTTTTGTCCTGGGAAAGCAGTCAGGGTGGCCCTAGGCCTTGGGACCCTGTAACCTCATGGAGGACAAAGAGGAGGCTCCTGGCTCCTGGCTTCAGATAGGCGCAGTGCTGACGTCGCGGCCACTTGGGGAGTGAATCATCAGAAGGAAGATCTTCCTCTCTGTCTCTCCTCTTCTCTGGGTATCTGACTTTGCAGTAAAAATAAAATAACATCATAAAAAAAAAAAAAGAGGACCAGAGAAAAGCTCACCACAGACTTTATGATGTTATTTCAAAAACAAATTCTAAGTAGCCACAGAACATTTTTGCCATAAGGGACAGGCATTTGACACAAAAGTTAATATGTCATTTGTGATGCCCTTAATTCTGAATCAGAGTGTGTGAGCTGCAGGCTGCTCTTGTGCACCCTGGGAGACCCAAGTGTGGCCCCAGTGCCTGGGTCCCTGCTGCCCATGTGGGAAGCCCAGATGGAGTACCCAGCTAAGCTGCTGCCTGGCCCAGCCCCTGATACTGTGAGCATTTGGGAAGTGAACCAGAGGATAAAAGATCAATCCTTCCAATACCTTTCAAAAAAAATAAAATTGGTTTTCTTAAACCATTCTGTATTTTGGAGCACTTAAGCTTCTGTGCAATGAGATTCTAATTTCTAGTATATGTTACATATATACATAAAATCATGTATGCATATACATATCAAGTGAATCTTTCCTTTTTCCAGATTCCATATTCATTTCTCAATACATTCAAGTCTTCTGGTATTTTGACCTTCTCTAATTATACTAAAAAATGTTAACAAATTGAAGCAACAAATTAAATTGATTTATATTTATTTTAATATTTTTTGTTTAAAAGAAAATTTGCTTCCTAATTCATTTACCAGTGAAAATCTATTGAAATATGGATATAAATTTCCTGAGAAGGGACCTGAAGGGGGATGGAATGTCCATGTAACTGAGTCAACCTCCGCATTGTGTTAGAATACTGTGGTGTCCAGGCAAGTAAGTGCAAAAACAGACAACTGATAGCAGTAGGAGCGTGATAAACTGGGAAAGAAGCAGTGTCCTAATCAAAGATTTCTATGTTTGAAGCAATTTGCTGCATCTGTTTTTCATCAGGTGGGCTAATAGAAACACAGGTTAGAATAATGTATGTGGGAAGCAAGACTTAATGAAATTGAGACCTTATGCTCAATAATTTTGATTCCTACTTTATATTTCAACCTTTATTTTAAAATTCATTGTCTAACACAGCTGATGCTCATGCCTTTGATGACGAGTGGCAAAATGAGATCTTGAAGTACAAGCCAGGGGGACGGTGGCGCAATGTGGAAAACGCTAAAATGCGAAGTGTGGGTCACGAGAAGACTTCAGGATCCCGAGAAGTGAGAAGGAGGTACAGATTACTTCTTTACAGGTTTTTATATAAAGAATTATAAAATTTATATAAAATCTCTTCTCAGGAATTTTGATGAACACCTAAGTTGCAGTAGTGATTTTGTGAGAGATGTAATGATTTTACTTATATTAGAGTATTCTACACAAATTTAATTTTCATTCTGAAAGTATTTAGGACTGTATGGTTAGTAATTCACTAGGAAATTATGCTTCAAAAGGTAGAATCCCAAATCCACATAAGGGAAGCTGGTGTAGTAGAATGTAGGCATTCCTGTGGAACTTTCTGGTCTGGCTGTGGATAACCATTTCACCAGGTACAGTTACTTCCATGTGGAGACAGAGAAGCAGGAACTGTATTTGCAAGAGTTAGCTGCCCTGACAAAGAGACATCTAGCCTTTAGGAAAAAATGGAATTGTGAATATTTGTATAAAATGAATATACAACAGTCTATGCTGCAATACTAGGTTTCATAAACATAAAATATTTTAAGAGTATTACGAAAGCTTCAGCCTCCTTTTGGACTGGCTGTGAAAATTAAGTGTGCTGAAACCACACTTAGCTGTGTTTCTCTACACGCAGTACATAGTCTAGAGCTGTAATTTAATTTGGTTCTCTAGAGAAAAATAGAAAAAAAATTCAAATCCTATTGACATGACATTAGAGAGAATGAGAAGGACCCCCCCACCCCCCAGGCCTTAGAGCAGAGATCTGTTCTAGGCGATGAGAGTGGAGGATGGCGGTGGAAGGCGGAAGTCGTCACACAGTCGGCAGTGGACAAGTGGGTATCAATCAAATCAGAAGCCTCGTGTCGAGTTTTATATGCTGTGTCTTTTAAAATGCTTATTTAGGAACTTGGAGATGTAACATTTCTTTTTTAGTGGCTTTAAAGTGTTAGTTTTCGTTCGCATTTGGCTGACAGTGAAGAATGTGTTGGTTAAAACCAATGTTAAATTGGAACGTGAAAGCCAGCTCCAGTGGGAGAGGCATGCCCTAGGGTGTCTTGGGAGCTGAGGCCCCAACAGGGCATTCTCTGAACAGTCTGGTCAGTAGCTGTTCTGGAATGATCTTCCGCTGTGATGGAACGTTGTGTGTTGTTCTACGCAATATGGTAACCACTGGAAATGTGGAACCCCACTTGGAATGTTGGTAGTACAGCTGAGTACTGAATTAATTTAAATACAAAATGAGTAAAAATGTGACTTGTGGCAACCATATTGACCAGCAGTGTTTAGACTGTAAATACTTAAAACTGTCTCAGATAGCTCTTGCTATCTTTCATGTTTAATAATTGGACTCTGTTTTTAAAAACTGCGTAATTGCGGTGCTTTTTCATGTGTTTGTAGTGACCTATAAATCATTAACCATTTTTCCCAAATGGTATAAATGCTCCTGTCTGTTTCTCAGGGAGAAATCTAGCCCCAGTCCAGCCATTGAAGGTGGGAGAAGATCAAACGTTTTTGTGGACAAGCTCAACATCAAAGGGTCCCCTGTGAAAACCCACAGGAAATAAATCGCCGTGCATTTGACGTGTTTAGTTTTCCTTGTTTCAGCTGAGAAGGTCATGGTGCTGGGTAATGTAATACACATAAGACCAATCTCTCGTTGTTAGATCAGTTCTATACTTAGCAATTTTGTTCTGGCATCTGAATGTTCTTCAAAATTCTAGCTTTACGTTGTTTTACCCTGGGAATAAAACTTGATTTTGAACAATGTGCATAAATTGTGAAACATTCTATAAGACTCTTTAAAAACACTCATTTTTAAGCTAAAGTATTCATTTTGTTTTCTCAATTTCCCTATTAGCTGTGTTTTCTTAGTTATCAAGATTGAGTATGCAAATACTCCTATAATTTATAATTAGTTATAAAAAAGCAAAATGTCAACAAGTGTCAATTTTCATCCATGCTGTACTAGAGTGATGTTAATAAAGTTTTAAGGAATCTCCCAAACTTTATGATATATTACATAAAACAGCCAGCTTAAAGCTTTAAAAATAACAAAGCAGAACTATACTACTATTTGGTAGAAAGCATTTTTGATTAAGGACAAGAATAATCAAACAGTTTGTTTTCAAGGAAAAATACAGCTAAAGTATATTTATCATTTCTTTATGTAGCATGTTCCTTTTCTACTTTATCGCATTCGTAATGTTCATCAGACATTATATTGCCCTCTCTAACACCTTCTTAATAACTGAAAGGCAGCGTTGCAGAGACCTGCTGTTTCACCCCAAGGGCTGCGACAGCCATGTCTGGGTCAGGTCCATCCCATGTGAGTAACAGGGGCCCGGGCGCGAGGGCCACGCAGACTGGCACCCACAGGGATGCCAGCAAGACAATGGGAACTCAACTCAGTGCACCGCAATGCCAGCCCATATTAGTGTCTTTAATTTCTTGAACTGGTGCATTTCTGTTCTGCTTAGCCACCAACAGCTGAATTTACCTATAGAATTCTATAGTTGGAGAATCTTAGGAAAACTCTTCTTAGCTTTTTTTCTTTTCCTTTGGTTTATCATTTAGAAAAACACATTTAGTATTCTGAAAATTAGGATAATTGTCCCAGAAGTTGCTAGACAGGTATATTTGAACAAAGAGCTTAATAGCCTTGCTGAGATAATAGCTCAACTGTGTTTTATCTAGGCCATTTAAGTTCATCTCTAGCTTTTTTTAGACTTCAAACATTAATCTGCTTTTATTAAAGTTATGTTTAAAATTTATAGGAATTTAAAATCTTACCTCTTAAGACAAAATTTCTATCAAGGGGAAAAATCCACTGTCCATTTATAACCCTAAGTTCTTTCCTTTATATGTTTAGAAGCAACATGATGTGACCGAGTTCCTACTCCTCTGATTTCTATGTTATATTCCTGTTAATTGTGTTAGTTTGTTTTATGCATTTAATTAGTCACTAAAATTAGATGGAAATCATGTTTGTTTGTGCATATGTTAGGTAAAAAATTTCTTGTCAGTATGCTAATAAAATACTATAACATACTGAGATGTTGTCATAGGCATAAATTTCAAATACACATATAAACTTGACAGACTAAAAGCTGAACAGATTCTGTAATTATTCTCCTTTTGCCTAAGTCATTAACAGCTAAGTCATAACAGCTTGCATGATTATATCCAAAGCTAAAAACATACTGTAATGAAAAATTGTGCTTACCAGTAAAACTCCTTTATATCGTAGAGTAGAGTAGTCTTATCTGTAGGTAACTTTTTCCTTACAGTTTTTTCCATGGAAATAAAAAATTGAATTATATATATATTTCTTATGCCACAAGGCTTCCATTGGAGACACATGTGAGATATGTGACATAGGGGCTGCTATTGGCTCAACTAGCTAACCCTCCACCTCCAAAAGCAGACAATCCATATGGGTGCCGGTTCTAATCCCAGCAGCTCCACTTCCCATCCAGCACCCTGCCTGTGGCCTGGGAAAGCAGTCGAGGACGGCCTAAAACCTTGAGACTATGCTCCAGTGTAGAAGAGCTGGAGGAAGCTCCTGGCTCTTGGCTTCAGATTAGCTCAGCTCCAGTTGTTGCAGCCATTTGGCGAGTGAATCAATAGATGGAAGATCTTCCTCTCTGTCTCTCCTTCCCTCTGTAAATCTGACTTTCCAATAAAAGTAAATGAATCTTAAAAAAAAAAAATAGCATTTAATCCCAGATGGTGCCCTGCATGTGGCCTCAGCTGTACATAAATTGGTTCTTTAGAAAAGGCACAGCTTGCGAGGAATTGTCCACATTGAGACAATAAAGTCTACTTATTTGACACATTCACATGTTTTCAAATAAGAAGTCAAGCTTGTTAATATCTATTTTTATGCTACAGGAGCATAATTGCTTTTTACAGAAATGATTTTTGCTTTTGACATTTGAAATTACATAAACTGATCTCCCTCCTTTTAATGTTGAGTCATTTTTTTTTCTTTTTCTTTTTTTTTTTTTTTTGACAATCTTTACATAGTTAATTAGGGCACAAAAGTTCAAGGCTACAGGAAAGTGTGTAAGACTATTACTTCTATGTGTTTTTTTTTGTTGTTTTTTTTCTGTATCTGGGGTAAAGTGGGAGATAAAGGGAGAAGCCCCACCCCGTCTCCCATCCCAGGTCCCTGATGTGGGACATGCTCCGAGGGTCTTGCTCAAGTGGTTTTCATAGTCCACTGGTTATGAACTGTTGCCAGTCTCGCCATTCCAAGCATAATGAAATCACTGCAGAATCCACTGATTGACATAGTCCGCCTTAGAGTCTCCGCCCAGACTTTCACTGCCGACTTATGGCTGGGATAGTTGATTGATTTGCTCTGTCCTCTGTTGTGGTACCAGGTGCCCTCTGCAGGTTCCTCCACATGCACTGTTTATACTGTCCACTGCTCCATCTGAGCCTCTGAGGAGGCTCGGCTCTGGCACTTGCTCTCCATGGCAGACCACGGAACCTGCACTTCCCATGGTTAGCGTTCTGAGTCTGGCAGTTCGATTGGGGAGATCCCCAAAGAAACCTTGTCTGAGGTGATCCCAGACCAGATTCTTGTGTGTACTTGCAAGTACAGGGCCCAGTACAGTCCACCACCCCAATCAGCTGGTGGTTGCAATTGCTGGGTCAGTTCTGTTTCCAACCCTGTCTTTCGTTGGAACCAGTAGGTGTTGCAGTCCGGCCTTATTCTGCCCAGCACACACTTGGCCCTTCAAAGGAGAAGTAACTGTCTTTGGGAGTCTTCAGGATTGATTCGCAACCCAGCAGCACAGTGGGCTCAACATGGAGGTACCTAGACAGCAATTCATATCCCCTAAACCCTAGAGCTTGCCACCGGGCAGCCAGCAGGCAAAACCTGGCACCAAATGGCGCACTGGCAGTCCAGGGACAGCTCACTGCATGTTCACGGTGGCTGGAATCAGGGCTCCGAGCATGGGAGTCGGACCGGCCTGGGACCTGCCAGCAGCCAACAGGCTGGTGGAAGTTTTACCCCCCAGACCCTAAGGTCTCCCCCTCCAGATCCCATCTACTGCATGACGATGGCGACAGATGGGGTCCGGGCCGCCCTGTTCTCCAGCTTTCCCCTCTCAGTGTCCTCACCAGAAAGGGAGCAGCACATTGAGTCATTTCTTGTGAAGTGTAAATTACATACAAAATATTAAAATGTTTCATAAAAACCAGAAAATTACTCAATGTTATTCAAATTTATTTAACTTTTGTTTAGCGCTCACTGAAGTTAAACGCATTGGACACCAGCTTAAACTGCTGAGTGACTGAGCTAGAAGGTTAAAAATGCAGCAAGCCATGCCTGCATTCTCAGAAACGGTCAGTGTTAACCAGTGCCATGTTCCCTCGATTGGCGGTACGCGATGACTTCCCCTTCAGTTGTATAAATGGAAATGTTTGCGGTTGCAAGAAGGAATAACTTCACTCAGCTTTCTTGTTCCTGCATGACTGATACTACATTGAGACATGAACAGAAGAATGTTAACCACCAAATCTGCCTGTCCTATACATTCTATTTTTTTAATCTGGGAAAGTTGAACATCATAAAGTTTAGGTAGGGAGCGTTCCACAAAACGAGCAATGTTCGTCAAAGCCGTGAAACGTGGGGAGACTAAGGAGCCAGGTGAGTTAAGCCACGGTCACCGCTGGCATCCTGGCTGCTCCGCTTGCCATCCAGCTCCCTGCTGATGCGCTTGGAGATGCGACCAAAGACCAAGAACACATCACGGGTGGAGAGAGAAGGACGGGTATGAGTCCCACCAGCCAGAAAGTGTGTGTGTGTGTGTGTGTGTGTGAGCGAGAGAGAGGCAGAAACAGAAAAACAGATCCATCTTCCATCCAATGATTCACTCTAAATGCCTGCAACATCTGGGGCTGGGCCAGTTCAGACATTTCTGACACAAAGTATTCCCTTGTGCTTGCTCATTTCAACTGTTTTTAACTGGGAAATATAATGCAGTTGTCTCTGCTTGTGATAACATTACATGTGTTTGCATTTATTGCTCATCAGTTTACCTGGTTTCCTTTTTATTTTAGTTTGAATTTTAAAATTTTTCTTTTTAATTTACCTGCTTCCAACTTGTATGACCTGGACCTTGTTTTTAAATGAATTCTGAACATCACAGTCATTAATTCTCTTTGCTTTGAGAACACAAAGTGAGGTTACAAGGACCCGGCCAGGTAGTGTGGTGCGGCCATTAAGCCGGGCAGTGCCCAAGTCAGGAGCCAGGAGCTTTTCCAGGCCCCCACAGGAGTGGCAGTGCCCAAGTCAGGAGCCAAGAGCTTTTCCAGGTCCCCACAAGAGTGGCAGTGCCCAAGTCAGGAGCCAGGAGCTTTTCCAGGTCCCCACAGGAGTGGCAGTGCCCAAGTCAGGAGCCAGGAGCTTTTCCAGGCCCCCACAGGAGTGGCAGGGCCCAAGCATTTGGGTCATGATGACTTTTCCCAGTCACATTAGCAGGAAGTTGGATCTTTAGTTTTTGTGGAATGGGTCTAGGTGTGTATTTCTTTTTATTTATCACGTTTGGGATTCTTAGGACTCCTAGGTTTAAGCACTGGTAGCATACATCAGTTCTGAAAAATTGGCAACCATTGTTGCTCTGAAAAGTGCTTCTTTCATCTATTTCAGAAACAAATGACACCAGCAAGTTCTCCGCTGCATCTGCCTTCACTGTCCTCTTGCTTCTGGTGGTTACAGGACACGCTGCTCAGACTTCTGCAGCGAGAGGCTGGCCAAGCAGCCAGCCCCGGGGGAGGCGGACTGCAGCCTCTCCTAGCCACACCTGTGGGCAGGAATTCCAGAGAGCTCCTGGGCCCTTCCTTCAGGGCAGTGATCCCAGCAGAGAGGGTTCACCTTCCCGGCCCAGCCCCCTCCCAGGGCCCACACAACCTTCTCATTCGGCTCAGAGTTTGGGCAGAGGCATTGTAGGGGGATATTAGGCAGAACTGGAACCAGAAACCAGCAGACTTCCCGAGGAAATTCAGCACGCTCCTTCACATCAGTTTAGTACACTTAACAACTTAATAATGCAGCTACCTAGGGTGCGTCCTCAGATTTAAAAACTTCTTTGACATTTCTCAGACTGGAATCACAAAAACAGACCAAACCAACTGCATGGCTTCTCTCCTATGCGCACACTGCAGATGTGTCACAATAACTGCCCTCATGGAGGGAGGTTCCGCTTACCAGGAAACTGCTGTAAAACCATAAGCTACCATACATTTCTCTGAAGTTAAGGTAGTGTGACTGACACTTCCCTCCTCGGCCTAGCTTGCTAAACATGATCTTTGTCAGGCAGGCAGGACCTGATCCATTTCACTGGCCAGACTTCTTTTGATTCATTTGCACACAACTCTGCTTTACTTTGGGTCAAAAATATCCATCCAAATTTTACCCGAACCCTGCTCTTCTACCAAATTATGGCAATACAGTCTGCTCCTCCGTTTAGATTCTCATGGTTCTCCAGTGTTGGGTCTCTCTCCTTACAGTGTGGCAATACACTTGGCTTTGTAGACATAAATAGGTTTACCCCGGACGGTCTGGGTCTGCTGGAGATGGCCTTGAGGCTTGCCCAATACCCGGAGTGCCTAGTTTGGGGCCTCCGGTTTGGTAGTGATGCGTCATCGGAGACCTCCCACTGCCCCTCTGCTCATGCTCGGAGGGGTTTTGCAGAGAATCTGGATTCTGGACTTAGGCCGGGGCATGCTTGGTATTGTCTCCTGAGTTTGGGGGGTTCTGATCAACCTTGTGAGTTCAGATTTAAACACCACCTGCTGTCTTATCTCTGCTTACCCACCATCTTGTACTGTTTGTCAGTGCAAACTTTCCTTAGTCTTTCTTCAGATAGTAAATTGATTTTATTTTTGATGTTTACATAGCTGAGAGGGATGCAGGCCCTTGTGAACCACCAATTAGGATGGGAAGGTTCAAGGAATAGGGGAAGTGGGTGAGACAACTGCCTCCAGTCTCCTTTCTTCTGGTATCCGGGAAAAGTCGGGCGAGAGGAGGAAAGGCCCCTCCCAGCAACCCCACATCTGTACCTGGGATTGGGGGAAGGCTACCTGATGTCGTCCAGGCTCCCCAGTGTGGAGCATGTTCCAAGTACACTGCCTAAGTAGGTTTGATAGTTCTGAGAAGCGGTTGATTTCGTTGCTCCAAGGTCAAGGAAATCCTTCCAGAGTCCGTTGGCTGACATGACACACCCCAGTCTTGATTCCCCTAGACACTTGTCCAGGAGAGCTATCCAAGCTGTTCTGCCCTCTATGGTACCAGATGTCCTCTCTAGGCCCCAGTGATCTGGCTGTCATGTTACCCATGAATCTGGATGTGCTGTGCACTGCACAGGCCTCAGCAACCAAGGAGACCCAGCTCTGACACCTGCACTCCACAGACCAGAGAGCCTGTGGTTTTCACTGTGGTTGGAGCTCCAGTCCAGTGAACCAGCTGGGGGAATTCCCAAGAAACCTCGCCAGAGGTGACCCCAGCCTGACTCCTGTGTGTGCCAGCCAGTGTGGGGTCCGACTCAGCCACATCAGCACAATGGTGGCTGCAGTCACTTGTTCAGCTCTGTCACTAGCCCCATATCACATATGTGAACGAGTGGATGCTGAGGCCAGCCCAGCCCTGCCTGTCGCTCTGCCCTCAGGGAGTCCCAGCTGGAGCTCCTTCCTCTGACTTTGGCTGGCTTAGACTGGGCCATTGTTTGCGTTTGGGAAATGAACCAGAAAATGGAAAATTTCTTTTTGTTTCTCAGTTTTGCCTTCACTCTGTGTTACTCTGTCGTTCAAATAAATCTAATATATATATGTACAACAAAGGTCTGGTGCAATAGCCTACTGGCTAAAATCATCACCTTGAACACGCTGGGTTCCCATATGTGCACTGGTTCTAATCTTGGCAGCCTTGCTTCCTGTCCAGCTCCCTGCTTGTGGCCTGGGAAAGTAATAGAGGATGGTTCAAAGCCTTGGGTCCCCACACCCGCGTGGGAGACCTAGAAGAAGTTCCTGGCTCCTGGCCTTGGATCCACTCAGCTCTGGCCTTTTGCAGTCACTTGGGGAGTGAATCATCGGATGGAAGAACTTCCTCTCTGTCTCTCCTCCTCTCTGTATATCTGACTTTGCAATAAAAATAAATCTTTTTAAAAAGTGTACAAATGCAGTTAAATAATGGACTTTGCTATTAGGATTATAAAAACAGATTTTCAAGACAAAAAAGACTTTGAAATATGATCTGATTGGGCTGGTGTTACGGCATCAGGTGTTAAGCTGCTACCTGCAATGCTAGTACTCCAGACGGGCACTGGCTTGAGTCCTAGCTGCTTCACTTCCGATGCTGTTCCTTGCTACTGCAGCCTGAGAAGGTGGTGAAGGATGGCTCGAGGGTGTGGACCCTGCACCCCGTGGGAGGCCTGAGTCAGCGGCAGCTTCCCACTGCGGCCTGGCCCAGCTCGGGCAGCCACGAGGGAGTGAAAGATCTCTCCTCCCCTCTCTCCTTAACTCTGCCTTCCAAATCAATAAAAAGTTTAGAAAATTACTTGGCTGTGAATATATAAATACTATAAACTGGCTTATGAAATGCTTCTAATGATTGAAGTCAGTTGTATGCCTTCTAGGTTTTTTATATAAAATGAAAGCTAATAGTTCTCATAAAACTGAGGCTGAAAGTTTTATGATTTGGAGATTTTAAATTTTTTGTATTATAAGTCAAAGATGTTACCACTGACCACACCAACTGTATAATATTACAAAATATAAGACAGTGTTGAAGGACACTTTAATGCAGCTACCTTTATCTGAAAGGCAGAGTATAAAGGAGAGAGTTGTTACTGCGGATGGCTGCAGCAGCCAGTTCTGGGCCAGGCCAAGCCAAGGGCCGACTGTCAGCCTGGTCTCCCGTTTGGTGGCAGGGGTGCAGGCCCTGGGACTGGCTCCTGCCGCCTTCACCGGGCACTCACAGGGAGCTGGAGCGGAGGCAGAGCAGCCTGGACTGAAGCCAGCAAACATGGAATGGCAGGGTTGGAAGCAGCTGCGCCACTATACAAGTCCCTATAGATACATTCTTTAAAAGATTTATCTATTTATGTATTTGAAAGGCAGAGTTATAGAGAGAGGAGGAGAGACAGACAGGGAGGGGGGAAAAGGATGGTGTGGGGAGAGAGAGAAGCTCCTATTTGCTGGTTCACTTCCCAGATGGTCACAAGGGCCAAACCTAGGGGCCAGTAGCTTTTACCAGGCCTGCACATAGATGGAGGGGCACCAGCACTTGGGCTATTTTTGGCTGATTTTCCAGGCACCTAAGCAAGGAGCTGGATCAGAAGTGGCTCCCACACGGGATACAGGCGATTTAAGTGAAGGCTTAACCTGATGTACCACAACAGCAGCTTTCTACAAAAGCACTTCAGATAGAACAGAATCACTCCATCTCTGACAATGGTAGGAATGCATGGTGTAAGTAAACACTAAGATGCGAGGCCCTTTCCTCTGTTCCACGCAGCTGCACCTGCTTAGCAAGAACGCCCTTGACAGGCTCCGAACGCAACTGTATTTCGGCATCCGAGTCAGCAGGGGGCGCGCGGCAGCGCAGGCGCTGCTCTGCAGGAAGCTCCTCCTCTTCCTCTGACGCCGTCCTGCCGGCGTCCTTCACCCCGGAAGCGCCGTTCCAGCCCGGCCGCGGCGTGACTTTGAGCGCCTGACATGAAGCTGCTGCGAGCCGCCGCGGCCCTGGGCCGCTGGCCGGGGAAGCAGGTACCCGCGTGGGCCGGGTTTCCCGGAGGCCCGAGTGGTGGAGCCCCTGGGCTGAGGAAGGCCGCGCCGCCTCGAACGCGGGGCTCGGGCTGGACGTGGGGGCCCCTGGCCGCTGTTCTCACTGCCGCTCCCGGGCAGCGTGAGCTGGTGCTGCCCTGGGTGGACGTGGCATGTGGTGCAGTGTGGAAATGGAAGCCTGTGGGGAAGGGTGGGGATGCCTTTTTCTCTCGGGCTAATGTCGTTGGGTTTGTCGTCGGTGTCCTTGGGGTTTCCATCAGCCGTTTCCCGGGGGACTGTTATCCGCGTTTTGCAAGTTCTTTGGGCTCCCCCACCTCCCTCGCCCAGATGTGGCTGCAGCGCCTTTTGGCTGTAGTCGGTGCGAAGGAATGGTGTCGTGAAGACTCCGTTTTCCTGTGCTGTGTTGCAGTCGCTTTCCAGTGCGGAAGGTTGAGATGCGAGCCGGTCCCTTCTGCAGACTGGTTCGTGTCCGACCAGACACCCGCAGGAAGGACGCCAGGTGTAGCTGCTTTCCGTGCCTGCTCGTGGCTCCTGCAGCAGGTGCGCTGAGCTGGGCTCTCTTCTCCCCAGGTGAGCTGGCTGAGCCGCCGCTGGTGCTCAGCCGGGGTGATTCCTAATGAAAAAATCCGAAATATCGGCATCTCAGCTCACATCGACTCTGGGAAGACCACCTTGACGGAACGAGTGCTTTACTACACTGGGAGGATAGCCAAGATGCATGAGGTAAATGCCTGGCTTCACTCCACGGTCATTAAAGCCTGATTGTAATTGTTTTGTAGTTATTAATTTAATAAAACGACAACTGTTCACACCTTGGTAGTTGGATCTTCAAGTCGCAGAGCAGAGAGCTCAGATAGGTTTAGCAGGTTTAGAAGTACCTGCACCATCGGATGTTACCCTAAGCCAACTGTATTTTTTGAAAGGATTGTTTTATTCGAAAGGCAGATTGACAGAAGGAGTAGAGAGAGGCCTTTGTCCACTGGCTTACTCTCCACATGCCTCAGTGGCGGGAGCTGAGCCTGGCTAGGAGCCAGGAGTTTCTTGCCAGTCTCCCATGTGGGTGCATTGTCCCGAAAACTTGGGCCATCCTCCTAAACCAATATCGTTAGAAAACATGTTAGCATGTTAAAGTACACACAGCAGAGGGAAGTTATTTAAGAGCCCCTGAGAGCTCAGCTGGCGGCATTACCGCATCACCTGTGACTTCAGCTCGTTAACCTGTGCTGTGAGAGCTGGCTCCTCCCCACCTGGCCTCGGAGCCCGCTTGGAGAAGCGAGCGAGGTTCTGACCATCTGCTTGTGGGTTGGGGCAGTGCAGAGCGAGCCAGGCTGCTTTGCCTTGGCCGGTCCTCAGGGCAGCCTGGACAGCCGCGTCAGCGCTTCATGCTGGGCAGAAGCTGTGGTCGTTTGCTCTGGAGAGATGGAAGGTTTAACAGTGCGAGGCGAGCCGGCGTTCGCTGGCCTGTGGGTGACAGCCTTCTCGGGTCGGGGGCCGGAGCAGTTGAGGTGCTGTGCTTGTGTCTAGGTGAAAGGCAAAGACGGGGTTGGCGCTGTCATGGATTCCATGGAGCTGGAGCGACAGAGAGGCATCACCATCCAGTCGGCGGCCACCTACACCCTGTGGAAGGGCGTCAACATCAACATCATCGACACGCCAGGTGAAGTGGCCTCTGGGCTTACTCTAAGCCCTTTACGTTTGGCATATCAAATAACAGAGCGTAGCACTGAATTCCTGTTAGGGAAGATAAGCTTGAAACCTAGAGTTGTATGGTTTCCTTAAACAGTGTAAATAAATCCTAAAAGCAGGAAGGTTCTAGCCTTTTCCACAGGAGACAGCCAACGTGCTTAGATTTTCACTTCTGTTTGAAGCCTTCTCGTTGGGCCCTAGCATATGGTGGATGAATGGTTTTGGTGTCTGTATTCTAATTAGAACACTTGTGTAATAAGATGCACAGACTGGCAAATAGCGCGAATATCAAAATAACGGTGCTCTTTGAAGCCCTCACCTGCCGTTTGTCTCCCCCAGGGCACGTGGACTTCACAATCGAGGTTGAAAGGGCCCTCCGAGTGCTGGATGGTGCAGTCCTGGTTCTCTGTGCGGTGGGAGGGGTGCAGTGCCAGACCATGACCGTGAACCGCCAGATGAAGCGCTACGGTGTCCCCTTCCTGACGTTCATTAACAAGCTGGACCGGGCGGGTTCCAACCCGGCCAGGGCCCTGCAGCAGATGCGGTACGGAGGGACAGGGGGCGGGGAGAGTCGCCGTCATGAGACCTGCGCCTTGAAACTCGGTTCTCATTGTCTTTTTTTCAGATTTGATTTCTGTATTTTTAATTTGAGATATTTATGGAGAGAGGAGAGACAGCTTTTCCATCTGCTTATTCACTCACCGAGTAGCTGCAGTGGCTAGATTTGAACCAGTTTGAAGCTGGGAGCTAGGAGCTTCTTCCAGGTCTCTCATGGGTGCAGGGCCCAAGCACTTGAGCCATCCTCTGCTGCTTTTCCAGGCACTTCAACAGAGTTGGATCCGAAGTGGAGCAGCTAGGACTTGAACTGCTGCCCTTGTGGGGCGCTAACATCCCAGGTGGAGACCTGCTCTATGGCACCGGCCCCAGTTTTTCCTTTTATTTGTGTGAGAGGCTTGTCTTCACAAATGCAGTGAGTGCATGTGCTTGGTTTCCGGTATGCTGTCCGCAGCCTGCTAAGTGGGCAGCTGTCCTGAGTTCTGTGGAGCGGAAGGGGCATTCAGGTCATCTGTGCTGCGCTGCCGTGCCTGGAGCAGCTAGCGCCTGGAGCAGATTCGGACAGTACCTTGCATTTGGCTTTCGGCTAGCTGTGGGACCCCTCTTTGGTTTTGACCGCTACTTTGAGGAGTGTTTATGAACCCCCTAAAGTCAGGTGCCAAGGAGATGAATGCGATTCTTTCTGATGGCAGCGTGGGTGCCAGGGGCTGCACTGACTTTGCAAGATAAAGCGCTGGTGTTGATGTTATTGTTATTCTGAACAATACTGTGTGACTCACTTGCCTTAGGAAGAGTTGAGGCTCGGCTTTTCACCTGCTGTGGGCGTGTGAGTAGCTCAGCAGGTTTCACCTGGCGGGCTGGTGGGCATGAGCTCGCGTGGCCAGGTCTGTGGAGTGGAGAGGCTGAGCTCGCGTGCTCAGGTCTGTGGAGGGGCTGAGCTCGCGTGGCTCAGGTCTGTGGAGTGGAGGGGCTGAGCTCGCGTGGCCAGGTCTGTGGAGTGGAGGGGCTGAGCACGGGCCTGGTGGAGGAAGATCTGATGGGAGGCGTGTGTGAGAATACGGAAGGAAAACGCTTGACCTCTGGGTGTTTGCCCTGATAAAACTGAGTGTTTTCACTTGCTGTTAGGTGACTTGTGCTTGTCAACCATTGTAGTCTTTCAACAAAGATCCTTCTGAATTCCAAGAAAATTCTTTTTTGTAGCATTTGTCGTTTTGTTAGTTGGTTGGTTCTTCGCTCCCCTTGCATTTGTCTGAGTTCCCAGTTTTGTGACTCCCATGGAGCGGATTTGACTCCTGGAGCGGACCTCTCCAGATTGCTCCCCGTGTGACTAGGTGTTGAGAATGTGCGCTGGACCCCGCTCGCTAATTGGATAGCTCTGTGTCTTGTTATTTAGCCTGCCTCTTAGACAATAGTGTCAGCCATTATGCAGTTTCTGGAAGCTTTCTGGTCTGTTCGCACAGGTTGTTCCTCCGGCTGGGGTAGTTCTCCCAGGTCGGTACTATCTGGACTCGGCGGCTCTGAAGCCATCGGCTTCCTTCTGGTGCTTGGCACTCTGTCCGTTGTCGTGGCAGAGGCACTGCGGGACTGCTCTCTAGCAGGGACCCTTGCTGGGTGGGCTTTGTCTCGGTGCTTGCGTTGGGTACAGACCCGTGAGACGTGTCGGACTTGAGCTCTTGCTCTGAGGCTTCCCAGCAGCCCCTCTGAGAGAGCTGCTCTCAGTGTTGTGGAATCGGCCAGCCCGCTGTCCCCTCCTTTGGTTTCTTGGCCAGCCACTCGTGGACATGTTCTTCCTTCTGCTTCTGACCCTGTGGCCCCTGGGGATCGGATAGGAAACCCTGATTTTGGAGTCCATGGCCTTGTAGCCGCCCAGACTCCTTAAGTGGTTGGTTGCAAGTCTGTTGCAACTGCTGTGCTTATTCAGGATTTGCTTAAAATCAGAGTGACAGGGAGGAAGCAGAGGAGGGCGATTACTTGACTGGTTTTCCATCCAGTGGTTCACTCTCCAAATGGCTGCAAGAGCTGCTCGGCGTGGGTCTTTGACGTGTGGCGAGGACCCAGCCCCCTAAGCCATCTTCCACTGCCCCAGCTGGGAGCTGGTGGGACCACATCACAGTGCTGCCCCCTACCGACTGCTTTGTATCTTCTCAGTTCTGCAGCGTTCGCCGCCCTTGGTTTTTGTACTTGTCACCTCAGAGGAATTTGGAAGCAAAGAAATAGACAAGTGTGTTTTTATTTTTCAGGTCCAAACTGAACCATAATGCAGCATTTGTACAGATACCCATTGGCTTGGAGGGGAACTTTAAAGGTGTTGTAGATCTAATAGACGAACGAGCCATTTATTTTGATGGCGACTTTGGGTGAGTATTAAAAATAACGCTATTTTGTCTTTGCATTTTAAAAACAGAGAAAGGAAGGATCTTGTCTTTAGACATAAATGTGAGTAATTTGAAATGTGGCTGGCAGAATATTTTCTAAGATGATTTTCTTTAATGCCTTTAATTCTAGCATTCCATTTTCCTTCAAATTCTTTCTAAGGATGCTACTCTCTGAGGGGACATCAGGCTGTGGCCTGCCTGGTGCGGCAGGAGGCCTTCAGTTAGACTAGTAACAGCACTTCTGTCACTTTTCGTTCATCCGGTCTTGAGTGTGCAGACTTTAGTAGCATAGCTGCTGTGTCCTAGGTTGATAAAACTGGGAAAAACCAAATTCCAATTGCGTTCTACTTCATGAGATTACAAAGGCCAAAAAACCCCATTACTTATAGAAAAATATTGTGCAGCTGTCCTATAGGAAAGGTAAGAAACTGTTCACTTTGTCATGGTGTGCGGTCACTCAGATTCTGAGTGGCCTTGGCACACCACCACAGCGCTGTGACTGCCAGCGGGCACCCAGGTGTGGCATGCGGCTCGCCCGGGGAGCTCGTGGACCTGTCCCTCTGAGTCCCCCCAGAGGTCGCACAGTAGATCTGCGCTGGGTCTTCAGGGTGCGTTTTGGAAAGCCCCCGGCGCTAGCTGCGTATATGCCCGAGCTGACTGCTCTGGTCTCTGGCCAGTGACCCCGTTTGTGTGGTAGTTTCTCCTGGGACACTTTCGGGGGGATTTCCTTCCTCCGCTGTGTCTGGGGCTGCTGCTGCTCTGGTGGAGTGGAGGTGTCATCAGTGGGCACCTTGCAGGAGGGTGGAGGCTGTGCTCAGGAGAAAGTTCCCCTCAAGTGTGTGTGACACCTGGTGATGACAGGTTTATCGGCCACTCTGTAGGACATATTTCCCAAGAAGAAATGTTTTATTTATCTCTGATTTATTCATTGGTAGATCGAAAGCATCCAAAACTGCCTAGTACCTATTAGGGAATCCAAAAATATTTGTAATGACTGAATAAATCTTTTCCAGAGCTGCATGTTTCTGAACTGGAGGTTCTTCTGTATTTGACAGATAACCTCATCCGCTCTTCCTTCCCCAGATGCCCGCAGTGGGTGGGGCTGGGCCAGTTGGGTGACAAGGGCCCAGGAGCTTGAGCTGTTAACCTGCAGCGCCTCGGGGCACACAGCAGGGCACACAGCAGGGCGCACTGGAGGTGGGACACAAACATGGAGAGTTAGTGGCTCAGCTGGCAGCTTACCTGCTGGACCAAACCCCGGCCCCACAGGGAAGGCTGTTAGATTTTGTCGTACACCAAAACCATGGGTGGGTCGTCTTCATGTGCATATTCCCTGCCACTGTCTAAGACCACTAAATGTGTGGAAAGAATCCCATGGCCGTGTGACACGCGAGGGACTAGAGGGTGCTTGCCAGAAAGCTCACAGGTCTGTGGGCTGTGCAGAGTATCTAGGATATTTGGAGGTCATTTGTAACTATGTGCGATTGACACATGCTCCATTTTTCTATTTAGAATTTATTTTCTGAAAGGCATTAATTTTCATTTTTAAAGTCACAGCTAGTACAATTTTGAGACTGATGTTTTCTGAGTATTGTTTGTAGGTGTTCTGTTGGGACCCTGGAGGCTTAGTGAACTGGTGGCCAGCTCTAGTGGCTGCCATCTTGTCTCATATCGGGGTCCCTCGTCCCGCGAGCAAGACCCCGATACTGTTAAGATTCTTAAAAAAGTTTATTGGATAAGACTTCAAGCGTTGTGGCAAAGTGAAAGCAGTTACAGCACTTGTAAGATTTATTACAGTAAAGCAAAAGCAGCCTAGTGCTAGCTAGCAATAGCCTTGAAGTGATAGCGATAGCTCTAGCCTAGCCTTGAAGAGTGCCTGGTGGAATCTCCTCATTAACTATTTTTCACCCAGACCTTTTTACATTACACAAACCAATCCATACACAGTTCCTCACATCATGTGATAAGCACACCAATCATGACTTAAGTCACGTAGCTTCCCTGCGTGCTCGGCCCAATCCTCAGTAACTTCCCAAAACCTGTTTACCACCTTTGTGCCACGAAGCAATGGTCAGCAAGCGCCATCTTTGAGGCGCGGCTCCGCTCTCCACAGTCTCACTTCTTTTCTGTTTTATCACAGCAGTTGGGATACTCTGTTAAAAATGGCATGGTTGGGTTTGTTACAGTGGCAAGGAGTAGAGGAAGGTCTCTAATTCTTGTTGGGTTGTCATGTTCTAATAAGATGCTGGGTAGTAGAATTTTCAGATGCTCAGGGGGGCTTGGCAGAGGTTGGCTTGATTAGCCCTCCCGTTTACCTAGTAGTGCTCCCCTGGCAGGCGTCCTTGCTGCTTCCGGTGTCACTCCTGGTCCGCAGGTGCAGCCAGTAGGAACTGCTTCACAGGAGGTGGAGAGTCAGTCAGTCGCCGGATTGCTCGTTCAGGCTTGCTGCGTTGTAGATATTTAATAAACGGATGCTCTTTCTAGCATGTTTGCCAATTTTCAAATCAGAGTACAGTAAAATCTATAACTACTGCGAAGAACTTCAGTCTTTCAGTATTATTTTGTCAAGTCACTGTTTTCAACCTTCAAAGTATATTTGCTGAATACATTTATTTTGCATATTTAGTCTACCTAGACAAGGTTGAGTTACATTGAGACATATTTTATTATAACTTTTATCAGTTAACTTCTGTCAAATGCAAAGTACAGGAGCGTAAATATGGTATCTGTAATAAAGGATACTCTTCCCATCCTAGTGGATTGTCTGGAGTTTGGGTCCTTGTGTTACTAAGGGTTCAGCCCTGAGTGCATTACTTTCTCCGTTTGAACTTTTCTGCCCCAGATTCTGTCTGAATTTTTAAGATATGTATTGGTCTTATGTACTATTAGAATGCAAATCCATCAGACCTTTTTCTTGCCTAGAATAAGTGTGCTCGTTCGCCCTCTTCTCAGTTGTGCTGTGTGTGATTGGGTGCGCCCAGGGTGATCCCAGCGAGCTTTCTCTCCCAGGCAGGTCGTGCGCTATGACGAGGTCCCCGCGGAGCTGAGGGCGGAGGCGGCCGAGCGCCGGCAGGAGCTGATTGAGTGTGTCGCCAATTCAGATGAACAGCTTGGGGAACTGTTTCTAGAAGAAAAAATCCCCTCGACTTCTGATATAAAGGCAGGTGGTCTCAAGAAAAGTCCTATATTTAAAAAGCGCATGTGTTTTTTGTGGTCGGGGCTGTGGCGCTTTTATGCATGGGCTGTATTTGTGGGATTGGAGATTCATTTAGCATAGTTGATTCCCTCAAAAATCCGACAGCATGTTACTTTATGCGTTGAGTTAGGTAGTGTTTTAAAACGAGAAGGGAGTCCTAGTTTATACTACAGAAATGGCGCGGTCAGCCTCATGTCCTTACTGCAGAGAAGCCCTGTGTAGGCTGCCGGGCTGCTCAGTGCTGCCGGGGAGGTACTGCCTCTCACACTGTTGAGAACGCCCAGCGGGTCGCCTCGCGTGCGGGCACAGATGTGCAGTGCCACTGATCATTAGGAAAATGCGTGGCTGTCATTAACGGTCCCTCGGGGGCTGAATAGATCAACAGAATGTGATGTACACATAGAGAGATCTGACCAGCTTCAGAGGGGCAGATCTGTGTGCGCTAACGTCGTGGGGTCTGTGTGTGCTAACGTGGAGTCTTACATTCAATGTGCGCTAATGTCATGGGGTTCGTGTGTGCCAACGTGGAGTCTTACATTCTGTGTGCGCTAACGTCGTGGGGTCTGTGTGTGCCAACGTGGAGTCTTACATTCTGTGTGCGCTAATGTCATGGGGTTCGTGTGTGCCAACGTGGAGTCTTACATTCAATGTGCGCTAATGTCGTGGGGTTCGTGTGTGCCAACGTGGAGTCTTACATTCTGTGTGCGCTAATGTCGTGGGGTCTGTGTGTGCCAACATGGAGTCTTACATTCAATGTGCGCTAATGTCATGGGGTTCGTGTGTGCCAACGTGGAGTCTTACATTCTGTGTGCGCTAATGTCGTGGGGTTTGTGTGTGCCAACGTGGAGTCTTACATTCTGAGCTGACGCAAAAGGATGTGTTTGTGTAACTCAGGCAAAATCTGCAATAGTTTAATTCATAGAGACAGTAGAATAGTGATTTGGGGAGGGCTTAATTAGGAATAAAGTTTGTTTACGATGATGAAAAAGTTCCAAACATGGACAGTGTGGTAATAACCTAGTATTATGAATGTATTTAATACCATTGAACTGAACACTTCAACAAGTTTAAGGTGGAAAATTTTATTACGTGTACAATACTGTTTAAAAACTTGCTACTAATTATCCTAGCATTTGGTGTATTTGGAGATCAAATATTCGTTATGTGTAAGACATTGCACCAGTAAACTTTTTTTTTCCCTTAAGATCTATTTTTATTGGAAAGGCAGATTTACAGATAGGAGAGACAGATCTTCCATCTGCTGGTCAACTCCCTAAATAACCATAATTACCACAGCTGAGCCATTCTGAAGCCAGGAACCAGGAGCTTCTGGGTCTCCCACGTGGGTGCCGGGTCCTGAGGCCTGGGCCATCCAGGCCATAAGCCGGGAGCTGAGTAGGAAGTAGCACAGCTGAGACTTTGACCTCGCCGGCACCTGTAAGGGATCTGGCACTTGGAGGTGGAGGATTAGCCTGTTGAGCCAGCATAGTGGGCCCTCATAAAGTTTGTTGCATAGTCAGCTACACAGAAACTGTATTGAAGCTACAATGTTTACTAATTCTTTTCTATTGTTTGGGCTGGGTTTCCATCTTGCAATGACTCCTTTAGCATTCCCAGAGGTCTTAGCGACTCAGCTCTGTGAAGAGTGGGGGAACACTGCATGTCGCCCTAAGTGAAGTCAGGCACTCCTGGGCAACGGGGATTTTTATCTGTTGACACAATTGTGCCGAGGCACTCCCAGACCACTTGCCGATTCGGTGAGGTGGGACTCGTGCTGGTGGCTGTGACTTAATTATGGAAGGGGTACACAGCAGGACCAGCCGAGGAACAGCGCGCATGGGGGCGAGTCCCGAGGCAGCCGTGTACGCGGGAGAGATGCCTCCCAGGGGAGACACCCAGGCCGCCGAGAGCACCTGTGAGAGCTAGCCACCAGGAAAGCCCTTTAGAAACTCAGTCTCCAAGGTCTTTACCAAGGTGTGGTCACAGGATCCCTTCCTAGAATGTGTCAGAATTCTAGAAGGAAAGCAGGTGCCCACACTGTGCGAACGCTGGGCACCGCACACCATCCGTACCAGTCCTGAGAGTAGTGGGAGCTGTGTGAAGGCCAAGGGCACGTTGCAGTCCTGCTGAATTTACTTCTTTTCTGTGTAAGATACTTGGCTGTCTTTCAGTTTCTGTTTATGCTTAGAGTATATTTTAAAGGGAAATGGAAAGCCGGGGTTGGTGTTTTTCACTGTGGTGGTGTGTGGGGAGATCGGTGGTTTTCCCTCTGCTAGTTCACTCCGCACATGACTCCACTGGTCACGACGGGGCCAGGCTGAAACGGGGGGCCCAGAAGGCCATCCACGTTTCCCACATACTTGGGCCATGTTCCTGCTTCTCCAGGCGTGGAAACAAGGAGCCGTATTGGAAGTGGAGCAGCCTGGGTTTGAACCAGTGCTTACAGAGGATGCTGGTGCCAGAGCAGCTGCTTAACTCACTCTGCAGCAGGGCTGGTCCCATTGGGGTAGTAATGGGTCACTTCTGCGTATTTTTCCTTTTCATACCGTCTATAATCATGTTCTTTTGGTATCCTAGTTTTTCTTGTTTAGAAGTCGTGGCTGTGGAATTTGGGGTAGCTTTTCTCATGTGGACGAGAAATAGTTGTGTGCAGCTTCCGCCTTTCCACAGTGAGCGGTTATGGCCACTGTCGGCTGCTCCCAGCTGCTCCCAGCTGCTCCCAGCTGCCCCCAGCTGCAGTTGCACTGTGTACTGTGGGCCTGCTCGGCCAGCAGCACCCACGGGTGCTGTGTGCGCTGTGTACTGCTCGGCCAGCAGCACCCACGGGTGCTGTGTTTGCTGGGGCAAGCACCTCCAGCTCCTTGTTACAGACTAGCACTGTCAGGATCTAAATTCATGTGTATTTTTACGGCTTGGTTTGTTAGGCTTCTTTTAAAAAAAATAGTGACTTTGAATAAAATATGCTTTAATATAGTGTTAGTATTTAAAATACTAGTATTTAAAAGCTTACAGAAAAAATATTTTTTGTATGTTCAATTTTCTTCATCCATCCATCCAAAAATTGGTTATGTGCTGCATAGTTTCTGGCGTATCCTTTCACGTGTTTCTATTTTACACGGTAGTTAGTATAATGTTTTTAGATTTTCTATGTGGTTTTTCAAATTGCAAATTATTCCACGAATATGAAAAACAGTTGTTCATTTATGTGTTGTGTGGCAGTTGACTTCCATCACAAAGTGTAATTAAGCACCATGTTTTCTTTTGTGAAGCTTGCGATCCGAAGAGCCACTCTGAGCAGGTCGTTTACTCCTGTGTTTTTGGGAAGTGCCTTGAAGAACAAAGGAGTCCAGCCCCTTCTGGATGCGGTGTTAGAGTATCTCCCAAATCCGTCCGAGGTTCAGAACTACGCCATACTCAATGAAGAAGAGTAAGTGTTAGAAATTGTATCTTAGCTTCTGCAGACTTTAATGCCTATGGTGTGTTCTATTTCTATTTTTTCCATAATCTATAATGATCAGTCACTGTTCTTACTTGGGTAAGGGCTTGGCATGTAGAAGCATACTTTCTGCGAGTGCCTACATCATTGTGTGTTTGCCAGAGTATGATTTTTGCAGTAGTTGTGCCGCAGTGAAACCGCAGCACATAACGCTGGCATCCCCATGCGAGCTGGTTCAAGTCCCGGCTGCTGCACTTTGGATCCAGCTCTGTGCGGACGGCTGGGAGAAGCAGTGTGAGAGGACCCAGACCCTCAGGCCCTGTGACACACGTGGAATGTCCCGAGGAAGCTTCTGCTTCCTGGCTTTGGCCTTGGCTGTTGGCTACTAGGGAGTGAACCTGCGGGTGGAAACTCCCCCTTGTCTGTCTTCAGTGCCGACTTTGAAATAAATTACTTTTTAAAAAGAAGTTTGATTTGGTGAAGCTTTAAGAAGCTTTTTAAAGCTTTTATCGAGCTTGTTTATTCTGTATCAGAGCCTTTCTGTATTATCTGGTCCCGTTCCTGGGTAGCAGCTACTGCTCGAGGGCCTGTTCTTGTTGATGTTCAGTAAAATTTCGCATATGTGCGAAGTCTGAAATGATTAGCAGATATGACTTCTCAGATCATAATCTGATGAAATAATTTGATAGAAAAGAAATAAAATATTATATCACAATCTGTATTTCTTTGGATTTTAGTGACTCGAAAGAGAAAACCAAGATCTTGATGAACTCCGAAAGAAACAGTTCTCACCCCTTTGTAGGCCTGGCTTTCAAGCTGGAGGTAAGTGTGGCTCTGCTGTGTGCGGGCGGCCGCCTGGCTCTGCTGTGTGCGGGCGCCTGGCTCTGCTGCGTGCGGGCGGGCGCCTGGCTCTGCTGTGTGCGGGCGGCTGGCTCTGCTGTGTGCAGCCACCATCTGTAGAAGATGCTTCCCCCTCCTGCTCCTGCTTCCCTCCCTTCCCTGTTCGTCTTCTAAGAGTTTTATTCCTATTAGAGAAAAACTGCGTGCCTTTCTGAAAGCAAAAAGGACAAATATTTCCAGCATGTTAACACCCGGTAGATAGAATTTTGTAACATATGGTTCCTTTACCTATTTTTTGGAATGATTTGTTTACATATTTTAAGGATTTATTCATTTTTCTTTGGAAAGCAGGTTTAGAGAGAGGAGAGACAGATCTTCCATCTGCTGGTTCACTCCCCAGATGGTCCCATGAGGCAGAGCTGAGCTGATCCGCAGCTAGGAGCCTCCCGCAGGTCTCGCACTGGCTGCCAGGGCCCACGCACCCTCCACTTTCCCAGGCTGTCGTCAGAGCTGGGTCGGGAGGGGAGCAACTGGTGCCCAGATGGCATGCTTGGTGTTGCAGACCGTGGCTTTATTCACTGTGCCACAACACTGGCACCTCTTTTTGTTTGTAGTTATTTTTTTTTTAAGATTTATTTATTTTTATTGGAAAGGCACATATACAGAGAGGAGGAGAGACGGAGAGGAAGATCTTCCCTCCGATGGTTCACTCCCCAAGAGGCCGCAACCGCTGGAGCTGAGCCAATCTGAAGCCAGGAGCCAAGAGCTTCCTCCAGGTCTCCCACACGGGTATAGGGTCCCAAGGCTTTTTGCTGTCCTCGACTGCTTTCCCAGGCCACAAGCAGGGAGCTGGATGGAAAGCAGGGCCGCCAGGACTAGAACCAGTGCCAATATGGGATCCCAGCGTGTTCAAGGCGAGGACTTTAGCTGCTAGGCTATCGCACCAGGCCCCTGTTTATAGTTTTAAAGTATACATTTTGGGGTGGGTGTTTGTCACAACAGTGAAGCGGTAGCCACCTCTTAGGTAGGTGCCCCTGGTTTGAGTCCAGCCTCCATTTAGCAGTTTCCAGCTGCCTGTTAATGTACACCGTGAAAGGCACCAGCTGATGGCTCAGGTGTTTGGCTCTGCACGTGCCTAGGATCCCTGGGTGAGGTTCTAGACTGCTCTTGGCTGGCTTCGGGCTCGCCTGGGGAGGGGCTACTGATGGGTGATCTCTGTTACTCTCTGCCCTTCAAAGGAAATGAAACCAAATTTAAAAAATTTTAAAGTGCAATTTGTTACATAAATGATACCAACTATGTTAGTTTTTTTCCTCTTCATTTAACTGCATAATAAGCATGGTGTATATTTCTGTAACAGTTTAAATATTGTAAATGGCATAAGTAGATATGCTGTGACTGGCTCTGAATTTTCCAATTGTTGAACATTTATGTTCTTTACAATTTTTTTGCTATGGTAGATGACAAGGGGTCAAGTTTTAGAAATGTGTCCTACCTAAGTCTCGGTGACTGGCAGTGAGGGCAGAAGGCAGACTGGCAGCGAGGGCAGACTGGCAGCGAGGGCCGACTGGCAGCAGAGGGCCGACTGGCAGCAGAGGGCCAACTGGCAGCAGAGGGCCGACTGGCAGCAGAGGGCCGACTGGCAGCAGAGGGCCGACTGGCAGCAGAGGGCAGAGTCTAGGCTCATTCCATGGATGGGCGGCCTTTGGGACTGGATACTCACTGTTGGCTCAGAAGGTGGTAGTCAGGTGCTGCAAGAGTATCAGGATTTTTGGCCTTCCTCATCACCACCCTGGGATGTGGCATCCAGGGGTGGCAGTACAGATGCCGAAGGCAACTTGGGGCTGAAGCATGGGGGTGGTAAAGAAAAGGCCTGTGGTGTCACGGACTGAGCCACTGTGTGCAATGCTACGATCCCATCTGGGAACCAGTGTGGTTTCTGGCCGGCTCCACTTTTGGTCCAGCTCCCTGCTTGTGGCCTGGGAAAGCAGAGAAGGATGGCCTGTGTCCTTGGGCCCCTGCACCTGCAAGACCTGGAGGAAGCTTGTGCCTGCTGACTTTGGTTTAACCCTGACCTTGCTGTTGCAAGCATTTGGGAAATGAGCCAGCAGGTGGAAGATGGCTCCCGCCCTGTCCCTCATATCTCAATCTCTCATTCTTTCTCTCTCTCTACCTTTCAAACAAATAAATTATCCTAAAGGAAAGAAATAAATGCTTTAGTCACCGCCTCTGTTTCAAAAGGCTTTTCTATAGTTTGTCTTAAGTAACTCTGAATTGTCCAGCATGATGACCAACATGTTCTTCAGAGTTTTAGAAAAAGTTTCAGTGTTTGCAGAAATAACTGGAATGCTAGCAGAAAAAGGTGAATATTGCTAAGCATCGAGTATTGTTTAAAAATTACTGATTTAATGAAAGCTTAATTTGTTTTTGTTTTGCCTTAATTCCTTTTGATAGAACATTTTTTTCACATACGAAGGTAGTTCAAGAAAGGTCATGTAAAAGTGGAATTGAAAATACTATTTTTGTCAAGATGTTATTTTAAAACAGCTTTATCATAATCACATTTTCTGTAAGCTGCTTGAAGACCCTTCATTTATTATATAGCTGTGGATACCTGTAAATTAGTAAAAACTTTTTTGTTCTTTTTAAAAATGGCACACAATATTTTACTCAGGTTTAGCAGCTTCCTTTGGTAAAACTGATTTTGAGAATTAATTAATAGCCTGTGGATTCAGTCTAGTTCTGTCTAGTTTTGCTACTTCTGCACTTAATATTTTTAAGGTTTATTTATTTGAAAGGCAGAGTTAAATACAGAGAGCGCAGCCATCAGCTCATTACTGCCTCTGGGCGGGGTCCCGGTGGGCTGTCCACCGCTGCTTCCGCAGGTGCACTGCCGGGAGCTGGGAAGGGCACAGCTACAACTCAGACTGGTTCACTGTGCTGTAGGGCTGTCCCCTTGCAGTTAGGTTTTTAAATATTAGTATGTATTTTTCATCAGCCAGGATTAGTTTCTGCTTTTACTATGTAGTTTTGAAAATTTTCTTTTCCACTCATTTAATTTTTTGAGTTTGCTAGTGTGTTAAGTGTATGAATTAGCCTGATAGGAACGGACAGGTTTTAAGTATGTATCTAATGTTTCAGTGTTGGTACACTGAGTTGCTTTGCAAAACTCTTGCCTCGTTCCCACATGGCTGTCAGAGGTGGTTTAGAAGCATGGTATGCACCTGCCTCTTCTGGCTGGGTTTCTGTCTTTCCAAGAACTATACTTAATTTTTGCTTCATATTTTATTGTATAAAATTGAACTTATTTTTTAAAGATTTATATTTATTTTTAAATATTTTCGTTTTTATTGGAAAGTCAGATATACAGAGAGGAGGAGAGACAGAGAGGAAGACCTTCCATACATTGATTTACTCTCCAAAGGCCGCCACAGCCGGAACTGCACCAATCTGAGGCTAAGAGCCTGGAGTGTCTTCCAGGTCTCCCGTGCAGGTGCAGGGTCTCAAGGCTTTGGTCTGTCCTCTGCTGCTTTCCCAGGCCACAGCAGGGAGCTGGATGGGAAGTGGGCCCAGTGGGATTAGAACCTGCGCCCCTATGGGATACTGGCACGTGCATGGCAAAGACTTTCCCAGACCCATAAAGTTGAACTTAGGTGCAAGGCATACTGTCTCTTGTAACAATTAAAATATTTTTCAATAACACTGATTTCATAGAAAGTGGAAATATCTTGGATTGTGTGAGACCAAAAAAGGTGCATCAGCAATCATTAAGTTCAGCTGAAACACATTTAAGAGTGCTACAATTGAGAGTGAATATTTAGAAGTAATATGAAGTTTTTCTCTTAATTTTGATTCTGATGGTGTCTATTCTCCCTGCCTTTATCCAAATTTGCCTCCCAGGCAGGTCGGTTCGGGCAGTTAACGTACGTCCGCAATTACCAGGGGGAGCTGAGAAAGGGGGACACCATCTACAACACGCGGACCAGGAAGAAAGTGCGGGTGCAGCGGCTGGTGCGCATGCACGCCGACCTGATGGAGGTGAGTGCGGCCGGGGGAGGGGGCTGGTGCACATGCACGCCGACCTGATGGAGGTGAGTGCGGCCGGGGGAGGGGGCTGGTGCGCATGCACGCCGACCTGATGGAGGTGAGTGCGGCCGGGGGAGGGGGCTGGTGCACATGCACGCCGACCTGATGGAGGTGAGTGCGGCCGGGGGAGGGGGCTGGTGCACATGCACGCAACCTGATGGAGGTGAGTGCGGCCGGGGGAGGGGGCTGGTGCGCGTGCACGCCGACCTGATGGAGGCGAGTGCGGCCGGGGGAGGGGGCTGGTGCGCTGACCTGATGGAGGTGAGTGCGGCCGGGGGAGGGGGCTGGTGCGCTGACCTGATGGAGGTGAGTGCGGCCGGGGGTGGGGAGGCTTCTGCAACGCTGTGTGCTGAACCCCCTCATCGGACAAGTGTGCTTTCTGGCATCTTCCTCCTTACTGAGGGGTGTTACAGTTGCTGCAGACCGAGTCAGCAGATAGTCAGAACTCATTTTATTCCACCGTTCACAAGGTTTTCTCAGTGATGGAGGGTCGGGAAGAGTTCCCTGAAATGTGGAGCACGAGTTTCAGCATTTTTCTCCAGGGCTGTGAAGGATACGGCAGGCTTAGGATGTTGGGACTGTGGTTCTTGGTGGCAGGTGACAGAGTCACCCCTGATCTTCCATGTTATCCACTGATGTGGTTTTCTGAAATACGGCCATTGTGATAGCCCTATGTAACATCTAAGGTTTTTATTCTTATTTTAGAACCCCCTACAAAACCATATAGGTACCAGGATATAAAACCCCAGCTCCGTTCTGGGGCTTGCAGTTGATTTCTGCACCTGTTCTGGCCTCCAGCAGTCTTGACTGGCTCTGCAGGATTGCCCAGTGAAGGCAGGCTTTCCCAGTGCAGCTCTGTCTTCCCCCTGGGAGGTGAATAGGCACACACAATGGAATGGCCCTGCAGCTCTGGGGAGAGTCAGCAGGGGGCAGCCTGGAGGGCTCAGGACTGTCAGCTGTTTCCTGGCAGGTGCAGCGTCCTGCCAGCCACAGCCATTGTGAGTGAACGCTGAACAGCCGGGGAAGCCGGGGTAGCGCTGCTTCCTCCTCTCCCCCGTGTCTCCTTGACTGCTTACATCCGTGAGAAGTTAAAATTATTTTTGGTGCAGTGGATTCCATTCTTCTGCCTTTGTTTTGAAAACTTCCTTTGTGGATTTCCTTGCATGTGTGTGACAAACACAAGTTGCTCATCTGACTGTGGCAGTGTATGTACTACCATGCTTCTTAAGTCCATAGAAGTAACTTAAAAACTGCAGCACCGTGTCTTACCAGTACTGTAGTCCTTTAGGTAATTAGACCATAGCTCTGAATTTCTCACATAAAGTAGAGTGATTTAAAAAAAAGTCAGCTATCAGAGGCTATTTCAGACTGTGGAAAGATGAAATTCAAAGATGACTCAGCCCCTCGGTAGCCTCTGCACTCCTTGCCGCATCTCGGTGGGCGTTGGTTTCTCTGCTCCACGGTGAGGGACCGTGCGGTGTGTGCACCGGGTGTTAACCTGTGCTTGTGCCGTCCAGGATGTTGAGGAAGCCCATGCCGGGGATATCTGCGCCTTGTTTGGCATTGACTGCGCTAGTGGAGACACGTTCACAAACAAAGACAGCAGTGGCCTTTCCATGGTAAGCCATTTGACTTCAGAACTCTTCAGCGCTGGATTTTGGAAGTTTGTGTTTTTATGTAGAACATTCAGTATTAAAAAAAAAAAATACAGAAGTTTTCATCAAGAGCCATGGAAATCAGGCTTATTTGAATTCCAATTAAGCAAGTGCTCTGTAAGCGAACTTACACGGCTTTTCGTAGCAGAAATTGTTCTACAGTAATCCAAAGTTTAATTGGAAGAAAAATGTGCCCCTGCTTAGCCTGTGTTGTGTCAGTCTCGGCCCGTCGTGAGACCTGCCACCTCCCTGTGAAGACCTCGCAGATCCTGCTGCTCTGTCAGCTAGTGCCAGGGCAGAGCTGCTCCCCGAGTGAGCAGCGAGGGTGAGCCGGGGACCGCACTTAGAAAGATAATGGACCAGGACCCAGCTCGGAGGTGAGCTGCACTAAGGCAGCCTGACCTTTGAACTCGGGGATTCTTCTGCCACTGGTGATGCTGAGGGAAAAACGCTGTCCCTGCCCGCCTTGGAATTCCCTTTTCCCTGTGGGAGAACGGGCTTTCCAACACCATGACTGTTTACCCAGGAGGGTGGCCCTCTCCTGAATTCAGTGAAAAGCATGAGTATGTAGGGCGACAGGCAATTGCAGTAGATCATGTCATAAGAATGTGACAGTTCCCCATACCATGTGGCACATTCATAATTGTATAAACAATTAAATATGTGGGTTTACAACGTCCTAAAGTCCGATCTGTACCAATTTGGTTGGGCTGTAGATGACAGGAATGCTCTAAGTATTGGTGCTGAAGCCTCTAAGTACTTGGCCGTGATGTGAGGTGCTTGGTGTCTGTAGGGTGTGCTCCCTGAGGCCTTGGAGCAGAGCGGTCTCACTCCACACACGCTGTTGACTGAGGCAGTACCGGCCCTCGGCCAGGCCCGGGCTCCCTGCCGAGGTTTTAGTGATCACTTGTGACTTTGGGTAATTTCCGTTTCTCACAAGTGGCACTGATGAAATGAAGTGTGTGTACAAGGTGGTGCCCTCTCATGGTATATTACTAAGGAAAGTAACTCACCAGAAAATTAGAAAAAACGTGGGTAGTTCTAGGCAAGAAGAATTACATGTGTCAGCTTTGGGGATCAGTGATTATGTGAACTAATTAAAACCTAAGTAAATAGTTCTGGCAGGGAGAAGACCACATAAGCGGAAGCTTGATTTATTTTTATGTATTGTCTAGTCAGGGCTGATGTTTATCTTTTGATCCATTTTGAGATAGAATATTATAATTACTCATGGTTCAAACAGTACCACTTTTTAAATATTCTCCCTTGTTTTAAAAAACATTTTAGGAGTCGATTCATGTTCCTGATCCTGTCATCTCAATAGCCATGAGACCATCTCACAAGGTAGGAGTTTGGAAGAAGGCTCTCGCGTGTTTGCGGTACAGTTGGGGTCTTGCGGTTAGCAGCAGCTCCAGGTGTCTGTCTCCTCTTGCTCCTGCGAGCACATCTTAAAATTTACCAGTCTGATTTCTAATGACAATTCCTCGGTGTATTTGAAGAAATGATAGTAAAAATTTCTCCCCAACTTTAATCATTGGCCCCAGAGAGGTAAGTGTGGCTTTCTGGATTTATGTTTCAGAAAAGTAAAGCAGGAAAGTTTGTGTTAAGTTTTAACAGAACTTGAGAATACACCCTGGATTTCAGACAACGAATTACCTGCTTCTGTGCATCTCGGGGCTGTGTGGGTTCGAGCCGCTGTCACTGTGTGCCAGGAAGAGCTGAGAGACAAGAGTGCTGTTTCTTACTTTCAATTTTAATTTTGTATCTGGGGTTTTCTAGTAATTTTATGGTTTTATGATTGGATTTGCTGTCATTTGGCTTTTTACAAAACTAAAACTACTTGAATAGGTTTTTAAATTTACACTGCTTGTATTGGAGCTAATCTGGTCTTCTTAGTGCCAGAGTGTTTTTGACATTGATAACAATTCTGTTGACTTTTCTGTCTCCTGGGACTCACGTAGAAAGTGTATTCTGATGAATTGCATTTGGGAGACATTAACAGCTACTACCTCCTGTATTTGGAAAGATTTTGAAACTTCCCAAACCTTTTTTTTTTTTTTCTAAAGATTTATTTTATTTGAAAACATATTTGTATATATAGAGAGAGGGCCTGCTGGTTCACTCCCCAAATAGCTCCAATGGCTTGAGCTGACCCAGGCAGGAGCCAGGAGCCACTTGGGTGTGGGGTCCCCAGGACCTGGGCCATCCTGCACTGCTTTCTCAGGGTGTGAGTGGGCAGCTGGATTGGAAGTCGGGTAGTTGAGACGTGAACTTGGGCCCCTGTGGAATGTCGACACTTCCAGTCATTGCACCAGCCTCTCCCCAAAAAAGTCTTCTTAATCTAGAAACGAGAATTGTTGAGTTGGCAAGAAATGGTAAACGTTCCGCCTTCTCAAGCTTGCTGAAGGGTGAACCTCACACCTCAGTAAGATACTGTAGTTTGTTCCTTTTGCTCAGTTAGCTTTTTCTCTTCAGAATTATGCATGATTTGAAATTCAAAGTGTTATGTTTCCCTATCCTTAAACAGAATATTGGAAAACATTTAAATGTTGACAAGTCACAGTAATGGAGGGAATCAAGTGCATTGTTTAGAAACATTTGCCTCCTGGAATAAATTAGTTGAAATCAGTAATAAGACTGAGTAAAGCCGTGAGTCTCAGCGGAGGCACTGCTAGGTTGAGAGTTTGTGGTTAGTGAGAGAAAGGCAAAATACTGACGGGTGGGCTAATCTAGGATTCAGTCCCAGCTTTGTCTTGGATCACCTATGTGGTCTTGAGCAAGTCACTTAGTCTGCCTCCACAACATTCTACCTGTAAAATACAAATCTGTCTTGCTGTTTGGGTTAGAATTTGAGATGCCATATAATGCACCACGGCCCCATGTGTGTGGCTTAAAACAGCATAAATGTTTTGTTTTACATTCAGTCAGAGTCTGACACCTGTGTGATGGACTGAATTAGTCAAAGTACAGCAAGGTTGTGTTCTCTTCTGGAGACCCCGTGCCTTGGCTCGCTCAGGTGGATTCCTCGTGGCCAAGTGTCAGGGATTCCCGTTTCCTTGCTTGCTGTCACCCGCAGGCCATTCCCCACGTTTAGAGGATGGCACACCTGGCGCCCTTGGAGGCTTGTCACCTCCCACTGTCTGTGCAGCCAGCAGCGGGTTGAGTCCCTCTTCTGCTTCAGAAGCCCCTGCCTCTCCAGGGCATCGATCTGACCCACCCCCTTCTGTCTTCCTCTTGTAGAAGCCTGTGTGATTACTTTGGGGTGATGCAATTCATTCATCGCAGTCTCCCCTTCTTAAAGTATATAGCCTTGATTGCGTCCAGCAAGTTGCCGTTGCCGGGGGATCCAGGCCTCTGAAGGCTGTCACTGTGCTCCCCACATGGCATCACAGCTAAGGAGAATGAGAGCACACCTTGCCATGTCCACGCACAGCTGGGAAAGGAAGCCTCAGGGTGTTATTTCCCTGGCTGTTGGTCTTAACTGTCCTGTTTGAGTCTAGAGTAAATAGGCAGTAAAGATGTTGTCCTTTTGATAACAATATTGCATAGAATTTCTAAAATATAGCAAATTCTGCTTTCTGGTTTATGAACAGTTATTCACAAATATAAAACGTTTTCAAAGTAGGAAGGAAAGGGCTTTGAGTTAGTTAAGTCTCAGACTCTGGTTTTTAATGGTCTTCTATCTCTATATGGAAAGGAAATCCTGTTCAACTGGCTGTTCCCTGCTCTCTTGGCTTGAGCTTGCCAAGTTCATAGTAGGCAGTAGAGCTAGGTGTGGGCCATCTTTATTAGTTGCCGATGCATGTGAATTCATTCAGTAAAGTTCATTAAAAAGTCCTATTGCTTAATACTTAATAAACTAATGTGTAATGACTTTCTTCTTTTACAGAATGATTTAGAAAAATTTTCAAAGGGCATTGCCAGGTTCACGAGAGAAGATCCCACGTTTAAAGTTCACTTTGACACAGAGAGCAAAGAAACAATTGTTTCTGGAATGGGAGAGTTGCACTTGGAAATCTATGCTCAGGTAATGCATGAAAAGTAGATTGAATTGATTACTGTTTATGGGTACAAAAGTTTTTTCTTTTTTTTAAATCATGTAAGCACATGGTCTTCAAAATATTGGTGAAAAATTTGGATGGTTTAAAAAAACTGAATAATTTCAAAAATGTTTTACTCCCAAATAAACTTGAGTTGTAATTCTATAGAATTTCAGCAAATGTCTGTAATTCTCCAAGACAGAAAATTAATGGTGGTTCTTCAAACTTCATGTGGTTTGTGTCCAGATGTGATGCACTGCCTCTAGTATTTGGTGCTAATTGTTTGTGATTTCTAACGTTATTTGGTAAACACAAACTGCTAGAATCAAGGCCTTGAAAATTTGTGACAAGGTAGTCAGCCCGTCCATCCCTAGGTCCTGGTTATTTTAATTAAGTCAGGATCGTTTTGAAGTTGTGATTAAAAAAAAAATCCTGACAACAGGTTTATAAGTTATTCTAGTAACATGTAATGATGTAGAACAGTGATGGAGTTTTAGTGACCAGATTGGGAGAAAATACAAATTAATCACTTTAGATTAGAATTCATTTCTGTTAAATCTATAAAAGTAGTTTGGATTAAATACCCTGTATCTAGCTTTATAAGAACCTAAAATGACAAGCTTTATCCTTAGCCTATTATCTTTAATTAAAAGCTATTAAGCTATTTAAGCCCTTAGAATTTTTTGGTTAATTATAACAAAGTTTTCCCTCCCACATCTGCCCCACTGTTTTTAGAGGATGGAAAGAGAATATGGCTGTCCTTGTACAATGGGAAAGCCGAAAGTCGCCTTTCGAGAGACCATTACTGCTCCTGTCCCGTAAGTAAACAGCATAATTAAATGTTATGAGGCCAAAAGGGAAGTTTTATTATGATGTACACCACTGCTACAATTACACAGACATGCTTATGTAGTGACACCTTTTGTTCTGGGATCGATATGGTTGTATATTGGAATCAAGATAATATACACAGTTACCCTTTGGGACTTGTTTGGCCACTGCTAGATAGCAGCGAGCCCCAGCATACATAGCATTAGTGCCTGCTGACATTGCCTCCCACTGCCAGGAGCCTCCTTCATGCCAGATGTGCTTCCTTGGGCAGACGGCTACTGTGTTTGACTTTAGTACCATATTGTGGATGCCAGAGAACTTGCATTTGCCAAGGAATGATCTCCTGAAAGAAAAGAAATTGATACCATGATAGAATTCATAAAACAATTAAGAAAACAGTTGGGTTTGTATTTTGATGCACACAGTCCTCACAGAAGTGAGCACATTAAACTGCTGTAGGTAGCGCAGGCCTCAGCCCGGCGTCCGAGATTACACGAACTGTGTTTCGTCAGAATTAATGTCACTTTAGCTCTAAAAGGAGTGTCAGTTTTCACAGTGGCATCAAGTAAAGGTAAATCCTGCTTTACCTGAGATGCAATGTCGTGAAGTAGAACGGTGTAGTCTAATTCAATGAAGTCGTCATTTCTTTGCTATGAAAGAAAGGGTAAAAACCTGGTGTTTAAAATTCTGTATCATTGAGAAATGGCACATCACTTTTCAAAACCACCTGGGTTTAGTAAGTAGTTTGTATTGTTTATTGCTCTGACAGTAACGTGATGTTACAAGCGACAATACTTGATTGGCCAGGTTTACAGCCGTCACCATCAGGGTGCGCTGTGGTTACACAGGCCCTGTAGGCTTGTAGTTGAATTGCACCTGGTGCTAGGTCCCGAAGGACTGAGCAGGTTCTCTTGGTTGACAATGATTGTGAATGTGACCTCAGGGTCAGATAAATGAAATGTGCTATTTCTCCTTTACAGTATCCTAAAGTAATCTTTCCTTTGACTGTATTCACAAAGAACGTCCTTTAAAGATAGTGTAAACATCATAACAAGTCTTGATAGAGATACACTTGTATAACCAAAGCAGTTGGTTAAACTCTTGTGTTGAGATTTTCAGTAATGCTTTAATATCACAATTTGGTGAAGGATTCTAGGAGTTTCTTTACATAGACATTTACTAACACTGTCCTGTACATATTTTGCTAAAAGTATGGTTTGATTATTTTATGGTCTCACTCCCTGGGCTCAGTTAAGGCCATTTAATACCTCTTCAGGAATGTTGTAACCAAGGTTGGTGTGTGAAAATGCCTTAGAAAAAAAAAAGGTTACTCTGTTTCTCAAAATATTGTCATAATATCTGTTAGGTTTTGGCATCACACCGTGAATGTTGTAATTGGCTTTGCTGTCCTCCAGTGCTCACAGATCTCTTAGCAAGTGGCCACAAAAGCTGTGGGGGATGCTCTGGCTCATGGCTTGGTGTCAGTAAGTTCTAGTAAGTCAGCTGGAAAGTTGCATTCTGTGGTGCCTTTCCAGCTGCCTTCCAGCGCCTACTTAGGAATAAGAAATGTTCACTGGGATTCTGTGGCTCTGCCTTGCTGGTGTTGGGGGCCCAGGGAACGCCCACTAACGCAGCTCCGTTCCTTGTACTTGGAAGGCCAGTTAGGGGAGGGGGCATGGAGGTTGGTAGCTCTCAGCCCACTACTGTCAGCTGGCCCCTTCCTGCCGCTCAGCCTTCCCCAGACTGAATCGTGACTGACCCTGGTTTATAGAGCAGGCTCATTATCTTAAATACAAAATGGCTTTAGGGGTGGTGTTTATCCAAGTATGAATTATAATGCTTTAAAAACCCCGGTGATCGTGTCCTTTATGGAAATTACTTACCACTTGCTTGACAGTTTGAATTTTTACCATTTTATACCACGTGTTTTCTGTAGAATTCTGCCATATTATGTAACCACAGCCAACCCAGGCTAAGTGTCGAACGGGCTTCATTTCTGGAGGTACATTTCCAAAACTGTCTATTGGTGGAAACATCGACATATGAGGAGTATAATCATCTTAAAGGAATAGTTATTTTAAATTCTAATTCATGCCTTAATTTTCTTCAAATATGTACAGAAAAGAAAACACCTAAAGCCCCAGATTAATGTAGTCCCAAAGCCTCTTTTCTCAGTTTGGAAAGACGTACTTCCAAGAGGCTGTCAGGTGAGACTTCAGGAATGTAAAGTAAGCAAGTAAGATAGGGTGTACATTAGGACCAGAGAGGCTATTTTTGAAAAGTGTGTACAGCAAGCTAAGGAAATAAGTGGAACAGTTTCCGAGGCGGTGCAGCAGGCTCATCAGGAGCTGTGACTCGCACTTGGGCCTGCTACCCCAGGGAACGCTGTCATCAGAGTAAATGTGACAGAAATCGGTGCATTTCGCAACATTGGTAACATCTAATAAGCTTGAGTGTAGGCAGTTGAGATTTTCACATTGGAAATATTTTCCTTATGCTGTATTTATGTACCTGGGATGTTTTGTGCTTCTAGTGGTTCCTTCATGGATTTGAGTCTTTCGTAAAATGTGTTGTCTTCTTCATCTGGGTTCTTTCCAATTTCTCCTTCAAATGTGAAGTTGACTTCGGGTGCGGTGTCCTGGCCCGCTGCAGGGTACAGCACTTCAGCTGTGCAGTTGACTGTTACTTCCTGTTGGAGACATTTTGCAAAACATCAGTGTATGTAAGTTACTAATTGTTGTCCCTGAGATGGGGTTTATTGCACTAGGCCCTGATGGTGCTGTGTCACACTGCAGAGAGCTCATTTGGTTTTTTTGTTGTTGTTGTTGTTTGGTAAGGTTAATTTTATTTGAAAGGCGGGGTTACACAAAGATTTTTCCATCCACTCACTACCCCTTGACAGTTGAAATGGCCAGACAGACTGAGCTGGTTTGGAGCCAGGAGCCTCACCAGGGTGTCTCTTGTGAGGTGTGGGGGCCCAAGAACTTGAGCCATCTTCTGCTTTCCCAAATCTATAAGCAGGGAGCTGGATTGAAAGTGGAGCAGTCAGGACTTGAACCCATATCAGAGAGGATGCTGTGCTGCATGGAGAAGCAGCTTACTGCACCACAGAGCTAGCCCCAAGGTCCCCGTTTTCAAAGGTGTGGGCCTGGCCTATTAAAGGCATCGTGTAAATACAGTTTATAAGGTCTTATCTTACAAATTGTAATCTTAAATTTTTAATGTATTTCCTTATAGGATAGCCATTTGCACAGGCACATTTAGCTTTATTCAAAGTGGATTACTTTTTAAGTTTTCCTATTACTCTGTCCCCACTCCTGTTTGTGTCTTTGTGTCAGAGGTAGGTATGGGAATCCATTTCTGGAAGGTGATGCTCTGGAAGGCCAGGTCCTTTAGCTGGTCTCTCTCTCCTGGATGAAGGCATTTAGATGGTTATGGTATAAACTGTAGCTCCTCCTCATTTGTCTTATGAAAATTTGATAGAATTTCTAAAAGTAGACCTGCCTCAGCACTCACCGATCTGAAAGGTGGCACCAGCTGGCCGTCCTATTCCTCAGAAGTCTCTTGAGGAGCACTTGTAGTTTCTTTACATGCCCAGTGAGAGACAACAAAAGGCAGGCAACAGACAGTGATCGTGACTGGAGAGTGAATTACGTCATATTGGAGCTAAGTTCAGGCTGCTGGATGAAGCAACTGACTGGAAGTATAAAGTCCTGTCTGAGTAATGCAGCAGACACGATTCAAGAGTCCCAGAACACAGGACTCCTAACGCTCGCCCAGAGGCCGGGGTTCCACAGCTACAAGCAAAGCTGATCTTGACTGTGTACAATCAAATTTTATTTAATAAAACATTTCACTTACTTTTTGGATTATTTCTTCCACAGAAAACTTGAGATGATACTTATGTCCTCTTCCTGGAATATCCTAAAAATAAGAAAATGTGGTTGAGATAAGACATTATAACAACAAATCCATTCTAACCAAAAAGAAGTCTTGGTGTTCAACACCCTTCCACCTTGAAGCGGCGCACAGCCGTTCTGACGCATGCTCCTGGCCATGTGCAGTGGGCACAGCATGCGGGCTAAGAGTGTGCACAGTGCACACGGCTCCTTCCCAGGCATCAGGAAACGGCAGCCTCTGGCTGTGGTCCTGCGTGCTCTACATCAGAGATTTGGAAGTAGCTTTTAATCCTAAAGTCGGCAGAAAGGTTGCCCCTTTCCAAGCGCAGCGTTCCTTCAAGCAGTGCTGTGTGAGCTGGTCTGGGTGGCTGCAGAGCAGCCGGAGTGCCTCAGGCACTGTTGTTGCCTAGAAGTGGGCCTGAAAAATGACCCTGTAGCAAATTTTTAAGACACTCAATATAAGCATTCATTTTTTAAATCAAGGTGCAGATTGAAAGTTAAAAATTGTTATTCTGGTGCAGTTTTGAGCTAATATCTGTTCCCTCTCATCTCTTATATACCAGTAACAGTTAAAATAAGGACAACCGCAAGTCCCAGTACCCTTCGGCATGCTGAGTTTAACTCGGCCCTTTAGCCAGAGATCAGGCACTCGTGGCTGTGGTCTTGGGTGGATAGAGCTGCCCCCCTCCCACCCCGCCAGCATTTATTCTGTCTCTGTTGGTTTCTCTAGCCGCCTGTTGTCCCCTTCATTTTGGTAAAAGATTGTGATGAGGACGGCTTTTCACGTTAGGGAAAGGGGAGTCGCGTGGCAGCAGATGGGGAAGGGAGTTGCGGCCGCAGCATTCCTGCAGGTCTCACTGGGGAGTTGGGGAAAATGCCGCCCTTTGTGTGGGGCGCTGTGGCATTTCCTTGGAAGAGTGCCCAAGAAACTGTCTCTGCCTTCTGGTGGAAATAAGGGATAGTTCCGGACTGTCTCCAGGGCACACTGAGCACGGTGCTCCCTGCAAACTCACCTCCATGCTGGCTTGCTTGACCGTCTGCACCAGGAACACCTTGTGCGGGGTCCCCTGCTGGTAGTTGATGCAGTTCTCCACCACCGAGGCCGCCCTGGAGGCTGGGTAGTGGGTTGGCGGGATTTCCATTCTTGCGAGCGCACTGGCCGCGGGGCTCCTGCTGCGAGAGAGGCCGTTCTGGGGGCGCTGCCTGCTGCAGGTGAGCACGCCTGGCCAGGAGCGGCTAGGCGTGGGCTGGATCACCGGCTCCCTTCCTCCCTCTTCCTGCTTCAGCTCAGGAAGCTGCTCTGGGCTCTGGCTCCGGAGAGTAGGCGCCACGCCTCACTCTGCCCTGCCTTACACAGCTGGTTCTTATTGGAGGAGAGGCGGGGCGCGGGGAGGAGTGGGAAGGGAGTCTGGGCTGGCTTGGCTCTGTCTTGTATTAACCTGTACAAAAGTGCTGGGCGGGACTTTGAGGCGTTGGTTGTTGTAGCCCCCCCACTCCAAGTCTCTAGGGAAAAGTTAGCTCCTCTTGCAGGCTGGAGTGCAACTTCCTCACCAGTGACTTGCGCGGGGCGGGGGCCAGGCTGCTCCAGTGATTGCTGTTGAGAAGCTGGGCCGTTTTCTTTCCCCGTTTCCGGGGAAGACGACCCATTCTTCCCACATCTGGGTACGAGAGACTGCACTGTATCGCTATGTCAGGACATTTTGTGATTTGGGTCAGCCCCTGCTTTCCCCGTCTCACAGGAGAGTTTGCAGTGATACCATATCCGGATTTGAATCACTTTGAGCAGTTTACTTCAAGGGTTAAAACATACTTTGAAACTGAACTTACACAAAACTCTGCTGAAGTAGCTTGCACCGGAAGCAGGACTTGGTATAATCAGTCAGCTGGTGCACTGCCACTCTGCCATTTCCTCGGGCTTGTTGTCCTCCGCCTTTGTCATTTTTAACCTGGGCTGTTTGGCCCTTCCTGTACTTCAGGAAACTGAGATTTCCTTTGCCCTGTGGCCAGAACTTCTCTTCACCACTTGTCTGGGAAGTGGAGATTCTTTGCTCTTTTTCTTGAAAATAGACTTTTGATGGTTTCTTGGTATACTTGTCTGTATATGTTATCAATGATTTTAGAAGGAAATGAAAAAAGTAATTGTCTTCATATGCCACTTAAAGTGTGTGAATGTGTTTTGAGTCAGAGTTTTCAGAACGAATACGCAGTAAGGCATCTTTTCCCCAAGAGTTCATTGTCCGCCAGCTGTGCAGTCACTAGAAGATGAGTTAGTTTTGCCTCTTAAAGTTATAGTAAGCTGGGAAGTTGGTGCCGCTCCCACGTGTCGATGAGCTATCTGTGAGCCAGTCTCTTGGGTTGTGCTTGTGTGTACACGCTGGAATTCTTGCACTGAGTGCCCCCTTGGTGGCTGGGTACTGCTGCTGCTGTAATTGTCTTCACGGAAGGCTCCTCCGTGCTTTGCTGCTCTGTTGGAGAAGCAGGAAGCACTGATGTCAGCGCCTGAGCGTTGTGAAGCTGTATCAGTTGTAACCACTAGCAACAGATTTAGCATAACAGGCATTTTAAGCATGCACATAGCAATTTAGGTTTTCTGTTTTTATAGAAAACATATTTATTCATCTTCATTGGAAAAGCAGATTTACAGAGAGAAAGAGGGAGAAACAGATTTTCCACTTGCTGGTTCACTTCCCTAATGGCTGCAGTGATAGAGTTCAGCTGATCTGAAGCCAGGAGCTCTTCCGGGTCTCCTGTGTGAGTACAGGGTCCCGAGGCTTTGGGCAGGCCTCAGCTGCTTTCCCAGGCGCGGGCAGGGAGCTGGATGGGAAGTGGAGCGGCCAGGACATAATCAGTATCCATAGGGACACTGGTGCTTGCAGGAGGAGCATTAGTTGGTTGGGCCACTGTGCTGGGTGCTAGGTACTCTTAACAATATAATGTTTTGCATTACAAAAAGTTTAACTGTTTGAATATTTAATATGGAAGTGGCATTAAGAAAAATCTCTTCTATATTAAGGTCCTTGAAAATCTTACTAAGGTCTTCAAGCTTCGTGAACAGGGGCTGTTCCTCAGTCCATTGTCCTTAGACATGAAGTGTGGATTGTTTTCTAGGAACTGAGATCAGGTGAATTATAACTTTATGTAACTGAATATAACTGTAAAACTAAAAATTCTTATGAATAGCAACTATGGCATGATTATTAAGTCAAAACGCTCCTGATATGAGAGCCAAGCAGCACAACTGACAACATGCTAGTGACGGTAAATGTGATGGATGCTTTTCCAAAGCTGTCAGTCCCTGGGGCGTGGTTTCTCTCCTCCTCTGTGAGTGTGTCCGACCCCGGTGCGTGGTTTCTCTCCTCCTCTGTGAGTGTGTCCGACCCCGGCGCGTGGTTTCTCTCGTCCTTGGTGAGGGTGTCAGTCCCTGGGGCGTGGTTTCTCTCGTCCTCGGTGAGTGCCTTGCCCGCTGCTGTAGTGGTCTCACTTCCTCTGTGCCCTGCTGTACCAGCTGTCCTTCTAATGTTTCCTGAAGTGAATGTGTCATTTATAGGTTAAGTCAATTTATATTCTTATTAGCTTTCTGGGAAGATGCTGAGTTAAGGGTGTTGGCTTTGGTGCCAGTCCTGGCTCTGCCCTGAATAGATGTATTGGGTAAGTCACTAAGATTACTCAACTCTGACGTGGTAAAAATGGGTCCTACTCTGTGTGTGTGTGTGTGTCGTAAAGGAAAGTAAAACAGCCCATTCAAAGTGCTTGACATAAGCCTGGTGCTTAAATGTGTTGTTATTTGGTAGCATAGCGATTCAGACCTGGTCCCTGAGACTGGATGGATTGTGGGTGGGCTGGTCCTGCCAAGCAGTGCTGTCCAGTAGAACTGTCCAGTGTTGGAGCTGATCTGTATCTTCCTACTAGCCATTCTCAGCAAGTGGCCGTTGAAATGTGACAAGTGGTACTAGAAACTGTATTTTAAACTTTGCTTTATTGTTACTTAAATAAAAATGTTAAATTTTTTATTTTATGTAGATTCTACATTCCATTGGACGACTTAGGTCTAAGCTACAGCGTAGATGTTCTTGTCAAATTGAAAGCAAGGTTTCTTAGAAGACTGATATATTTTTGTTTGAAAGAAAGATGTAACAGAGAGGAGAACTAGGGAAGTCTTCCAACTGCTGGTTTACTCCCCAAAAGACTGCAGTGGCCAGAGCTGAGCTGATCTGATGCTAGGAGCCAAGATCTGCTTCCAGATCTCCCACTTGGGTGCAGGATCCTAAGGACTCAGTCTGTTCCCTGCAGTTTCCTCAGGCCATAGCAGAGATGGATTGGAAGGGAAGCAGCCGGGACACAAACTGATACCCTGATTGGATGCTAGCACCACAGGGTGGAGAATCAGCCTGCTATGCCATTGTGCCTACCTCAGATTGAAAGCAAGCATTAAGATATCTCCAGAAGAGATCAACAACTACCAGCGTCCATACATCACAGTGTTGGAAATCTGTTCAATCATTCTGTCGTGATTTGACAGTTGTTCTCCCATTCAGGAAAATGAACCTTTTGTCATTTTGCTTTTCCTAGCCCATCCTGAAGCTCTTGACTGTTGGAAACATATTTAAAGGCAGTTAATCAAGTGCATTCATGCATAAGCTTTTAGGAAATGTGCCTGTTCCAAGCTGGCATCTCTTACCAATATTAAAACATGTTTCCAAACTACTCACAAATCTGAATGCAGGAACACAGACCCATTAAGTCCATTTGCCTGCCGTTACCTGCAGGTGGTTTTGAAAATGGCTTACCTCTTCCATTTTACAGTCTGGAGGAAGGTTTCAGGTCAAAAGAAATGGTAAATGAAATGTTACGAATAGTAAATGAGATGTTTTTCCAATGAAATGGTAGTCTTTATTTACAAATACATAATGTGTTCTGACCTGCTTATTTATGCTATCTGTGATCAGAAGGAAGCAGTGGCCTGTGCCCTTCTGGCTTTTTGAATGATTTATGTAAGTCACTGTCATTTTCAACTGTTTGTATTCCACACAGAACTCCCTTTATTGCATTGCTGAGTCTGGAATGCCCCACTGCTGAAGCCGAGTGAGAAGTGTCTGTGTCCATCGATGTTAGATAGCCCTCCGAGCTTTCAGTGTGAAGCAGCTGTCCTTTAAGAACACTGTAGTGCAAGGAAGGGAGACTTTCCAGGAGAAGTAGCTGAGCTTTTCAGCATATAGATTATTGGCAGGAAAAAAAAAAAACAACCTTAAGATTAGCCCTTTTATTTTAATTGCTTTAATTTTTATTTTGAAATTCAGAATTGGCAGAAGTAAAAGCTGTGAGTTACGTAAGTGCTGTGCTCTGCCTTCACCTGCTCAGTAGGAGTGGGAAAGTGAGGATTATTTTTTAGATAAATTCTGTAATACAGGTTTATAGGCATCTCATAATCAAAAGAAAAAGTGATTACATATGGTTGGATTGTTTGTTTGCTTCCATTTAAAGTAAGTTATTTCATTTTGGCAATTAATGCTGTGTTGCTGTTTTCTTGCTAAATTACTTTCAGGTTTGAGTTTACACATAAAAAGCAGTCAGGTGGTGCAGGCCAGTATGGGAAGGTGATAGGCGTGCTGGAGCCCCTGGACCCGGAGGACTACACCAAGCTCGAGTTCGCAGATGAGACATTTGGGGCAAATGTCCCAAAGCAGTTTGTACCTGCTGTGGAAAAGGTAAAAGTTGTATTAAGTTGGTTTTTCTTTTTGCATTTTGGTTTACTAAGAGCAGTTTATTAAGTATCAAATCACAATCTTTTCACATTACCTACTTTCATTCATTTTCGCTACAATCCTGTCTCCCGTCAAGCTTTCCATGTGGCTTCTGTAGTGATTGTAATTGGCAGTTGGGTTTGTAGCAGTCTTGGGCGTTTGAGGCAGGGTTGCGCGCTCCGCCGCAGTGGTGGTCCGCTGAGGGGCTCAGCCTGGGCGCCCCGCTGTGGTTCTGCAGTGTGCACACTTCGCTTGTTCATTTGTAAACCAAGAGTAAATATAGTCTGAACCCTTTAGAAAATAAGGCAGGTAAGCTTATGTGATACTGCTTTGGGAACTGGAATTACTTTTTAGATATAAGGGATTAGCATTTTGTTTGCTTCCCATGTCACTTTTAAGGCCATTTTAAACTTTTGGTAATTGTTTATTCTTGTACCTTAAGAGTTTCCCGATCTTTAAAAAAAAAATTTCACCTTAGGTATCCCTGTTAAAATAATTTTTGTCTTGGAGACAGTTATTTGTGATTAATAAATTCTATTTATTATACTCTTACTTCAAGAGAGCATTATGTCATTCACATACTTAGATTATTTTCTGAAAGATTGAGAGAGCTTTACAGTTTTAAGTTGTATGAAATAAGTTGTATGTAGTACAACTATATAATTGTTTGACTAGGAAAAGCCAGTTTGAATAGTAAACGAAGCTCTTCAGTTATTTAACTGAAAAGAATTGCAGATTGTATTTTAACAATATGTACAATTTCTTATAAGTCAGCTCTACTGTAACAAAGTTATGTGCTTTTTTTAAATTGCATTTGGAAAAGTGGAATTACCTTTTAGTTCTAGTTCTTACTAGCATGGTGTAACTGTGTGTTACAGCTTTATGTGACTTGTCAGGCAAAACGGTGAGAGAGATCGCAGGGCCTGCAACTACCTCGTGGGGTTCTTTGGACGAGTTGGGAGTTGCTCCTTCCTGTTTTCTAATGGATTGTGAGAGTCAGTCATTGCTGACATGGGTTAGTCAGTCCTCTGAGGTTCTTCACATTGGTTTACACGTATAAGTAGTGTTTTTCCAAGGGATTGCTTGTTCAGGTACTATAAAAATGAAACTTAGTAAAGATATTAGATTCTCTAAAATATTTGTTTTTGAGGGATGAACTGTAGTGTACGCAAGAACATTACGCTTCAGAACACTGAAATGTTTGGTAGGTTTTGGTGATGTGTCAGTCCACTCATCCAGAAGCTGTTTTCATTCACTCACAGGGATTTTTAGATGCCTGTGAGAAGGGCCCTCTTTCTGGTCATAAGCTCTCTGGGCTCCGGTTCGTTCTGCAAGATGGAGCACACCACATGGTTGATTCCAATGAAATCTCTTTCATCCGCGCAGGAGAAGGTGCCGTCAAACAAGGTAAGCTGTGTGCCAGCTCCTGCCACCTTAGACCAGCAGAGCCTCAGGGGACAGCTTCTCTGCCTGCAGTGCTGGGGACAGTCTGCTCTGTTCCCTCAGCTTGCTCATTTTTTTTTTCTGTGCTTAAATTCATAGGTAATTTGTTTTTGCTTTTAATACACAAGATGGAAATGCTTAGATTCTAAGAAATATTTTAAAATTAACTAGAGTCATGCTTTTAGTGTTTTGCTCAAAGTAACTTTTGTGTATGACATTTTAGGTTATGATGCATACTCTTTTAAATATTTATTTGAAAGAGAGCAAGATCTTTTATCCACTGGCTTATGTCTCAGGTTGCCACAGTACTGGTCCAGGCTATCCTGGAGCCTTGCTGAGGCTTCCCCTGGAGGTGGTAGCGTCCCAGGTGCCTGGGCGACCTGCTGCTGTTCCCAGGCCACCAGAGCAGAGCTGGATGGAAAGTGGAGCAGCCAGGACAAGATCCCATAACAATATGGGATGCTGGCATCCCAGCGATGATTTTAACCTGCTCTGCCACCGTGCCATCCCCCAAGCTTTTATATATTTTGAGAATAGCAAAAGTATTTTGAAAAAATTAAGTAAACCTTTTTTACACTATAGATTTCTTGCTAAGCTATTAAAATTATCAGCTTGATGACAGCCTAGGAATTAGAACTGTATCTGATTCTTTGCTTTTAAGAGAAAAAGACAATGACAGCATAGAAATTTGACATCAGGGTTTTTCCACAAATGAATTTCAAAATTATGTGCAAAATCCAGAAAACTCGTTACTTGCTATTTTTTTCTGTTTGTTATGTGTTAATTCCTTGTTAATATCTGTGTTTTTGCATAGGAAAATTGTTATATACAGAACATTCACATGTATTTTTGTCAAAGAGGATTGAAGTGAAACAGTAGTTAATTCAAATATTACTTCCTGGGAAACCTGCAAATCAGAATTGTATTGGTTTTTGTAAATTCGATCTTTCTGCTGCTGTCTCAGCTGCGTCTGGGCTTAGCTGTGGGGCCGTGATGGAACTATGCTCATGCCTCTCCTGGCTGCTGGTTCCTTATTTGACCTAATCCAGTTGGACTCGTGATTAAGTAGTGTATGTTCCAGTCTCTCAGTTGTGGAAAGGAAAAGGAACCCTCCATTTGCTTTAGATCACTTCTTTAGTAAAAATTCAATTGAAATCTGATGTGGGAAAATTGTCCCAATCTCAAAGCGTGTTAAACGGAAACATGACTTCATTGGGCATGACAGGTGTCAAAATTCCTGCCTCTTGACCTTGCAGTGTTTACCACTGCACTAATACCTACACTGTCAGTTTCATTATATTCACTTTCTATCCTTGAAGCACTGAGAACAGATCAGCTCCAGTTGCTGTATGCTGGGTCTTGACTGAATGTTGGTAGTGTTCCTGGAGACAGATGTGTCATAAAGCCAGGTGAATGAGATGGCCATCCGTCAGAAGAGCCTCATCCTTTTTAACAGCTCTTGTATTTAAATATTTTTGTCATGCCCATGATATGTGTTTGTGCTCCTGAAGAATGTCTGTGTGGCTGGTGGCTAAACAGTTAAACATGCACTGTTTCGTGCATTATTTAGATACCTAGGATTATTAGTTATGATAAATGTCCCAGCAGTTGCACAGAGGAGCAGCACTGGACTATAATTGAATCATAAAGTTTTATTCTTTTGCCAGGTATGCATATGCAGAAAAGGATGCTAACATGAAAAATTTTCCACTGTTTCTTCATGTGAAATTAACTAAAATCCTGGCATGTTCAAAGTATCACTTTGTACCCCATAAGCATATCAGTTGTCAGTTAAAGGAGTTGTGACATGATGACGTAAGTTGGCACCTGTGCTGCTGGCATCCTGTACGGGTGCCAGTTCAGGTTTTGGCTGCTTGCCCTTCCCTTCTAGCTCCCTGCCAATATACCTGGGGAAGCAGCGGAAAGTGACCATAACACTTTGGCATTTGCGCCCAAATTTAATACTGACTACGGGAGAAGGGTCCATTGTGTAAAACATAGTCTATCTTTGGAATCAATGTTTGTCTTAGGTTTTACAGTGTAGCTTGCATTTTCAGTATTTTCTACATGATATGGTAAAATGCTAAGCGATTGCAATGTATCAATAAGATGAGTAAATTTTCTGACTCAAAAAAAATATGGGAGACTTGGGAGAAGCCTCTGAACTGGCAGAGGGAAGCTGTCTTGCTCTTTCTCTCCATCTCTGTGTGTAACTCTGCATTTCAAATAAATGTTTAAAAAATTTAAAATTAGAATAATTTGTTTTTCCAATGACAACAATGACCCAGGGTTATCTTGCTGCCTGGGACACTTCCCTCCCGTGGGGCGCCCGGGATCAAGCGTCTTCAGGTTTGTCATCAGGCTTCCTGTGACGTGCACCCAGGGAAGTGGCAGGCAGCAGTGCCCTGCCACCCCAGCCGGCTTCAGGCTCCCAGCTGCGGCCTCGCCCGAGCTCAGAGACTCTCCTTAACTCCTTCTCTCTTTCCTTCTCCCCATCCCTCCCTCTTTTTTTTAACCTTTCCCTCTCCCTGCTTTCTCTCCTTACCTCTCTCCCTCTTCTCTCCTCCTTTTCCCCTTCTCCGCAGTCACTGCTCTTCAGTTGAAAAGTAAATGTAAAAACAAATTAAATTCGGGCCCGGCGCGGTGGCGCAAGTGGTTAAAGTCCTCGCCTTGCACCCCCGGGATCCCATATGGGCGCCGGTTCTAATCCCGGCAGCCCCGCTTCCCTTCCAGCTCCCTGCTTGTGGCCTGGGAAAGCAGTCGAGGACGGCCCAAAGCTTTGGGAACCTGCACCCGCGTGGGAGACCCGGAAGAGGCTCCTGGCTTCGGATCGGCATAGTATCGGCCCGTTGCGCTCACTTGGGGAGTGAATCATCGGACGGAAGATCTTCCTCTCTGTCTCTCCTCTCTGTATATCCGCCTTTCCAATGAAAAAATAATAAAAATAAATCTTTAAAAAAAAAAAAAAACAAATTAAATTCCAAACTCAATAAGAGAATGGAATTTCCTATGGGAGCCTAAGGGCAAAAGGTTGGGTGGCAAATGAGCTAAGTCCAAACAGAGCCTATACTATAAGCTATTTAGTTACATGTCTTTTGACAGATGGGAAGAAAAGTAGTTTAGATCTTCATAAATTCTAATTTGAACCCGATTTTAAACTATACCCCTGATTTTAATCAGTGACATAATTTAGAAGTGAAATGTGAAATGAAATGCTATGTTTGGGTATATTTCAACCTGTTGATGTGACTGTCACTTTTTGTGGCCAGTTTTTTTTTTCTTCTTCTTCATGTGAGAGAAACTAAGCTCTCTTCTATTGCTTTGTTCCCAGATGCCCACAGTGAGGGGTGGGGGAAAGCTTGGAGTCGGGAACTCAATCCAGATGTCCCGCATGGGTAGCCAGAAATCTAATTGCTGGGGCCTTATCCATCCACTGCCTCCCAGGGCGTGCATTCGCAGGACACTAGAATGAGGAGGCAGTACAACCTTGAACCCAGGCCTCCACTGTGGGGCGACCTGGCGTTCACCAGCCCGGTGCCCACCACCACGCCAGATGCCCATCTTTGTCACCAGTTTTCAGACCACCATGCTTGGTCTCCCCAGAATCATCAAACTTGTAATCACTCTGCAAGAAAAATTAAGTCCATTAACTCTGTTAAGGTAGCAGTGCCCTTTTTGTACTCCCCTGTCCCGTTGTGCATTTTGAACGTTAGCGCCTCCTGACTTGTGTGGAAGTAGGCAGAGCATCTGACCCAGGCTGCTTGGTGCTAACCCACAGATGCTGAAGGAGAATGGGCATACGTGCTTGGACATTATGAGTGCTTCGCCGTTTTCCCATTGTGCAGTCTTTGGCCCAGCTCTGTGCCATCCCCCGTCCCCAGGCTGGTTTGTCTCAGAGTGGTCATAGTGTTTGTAGACATGCAGGTATGCCTAGACTATGTATTGTCTCCTCAGTGACATTACAGTTGAGGCTGTTGAGGTTCAGAAGAGTGAATTGGAAGGCCCAGGGCTTACAAGCCAGGAGTAATGAAGGAGAGAGTCCCTGCCTCTTTAGCAGTGTTACTTGCCATCTCTCCTTAAAAGGTCCTGCGTGATACCAGTGTTTCATTTGTCCCTTTGAGGAGCTGCTTTAAGGACTCTGCTGCCACGTGGCTGTTGTTGTTCACAGGTGTCAGGGTGAATTGGCTCTGTCATCTTGTCACATGGGGTCAGGGGAAGATGTGTTGAAGAACAAGGTTTATCTGCAAATGAATCAGGGTGCATTTAGGAAGAGAATTCAGAGGTGGAGATGCAGGTGAAGGAAGGTGAAAACAGTGAGGCTGTTCCTAACGCTGAGTGAAGCTCTGGGTGACTCGCCCTTTCCTTTACCGTGTGGGTCGCTGCTTCGTGTCACTAGCATGTAGAAACACAGAATAATGTAGTAAAGTATGGACATGCCTGTTTCTGAGTGCCTGTTTGCACAGTTGCAGATTGCCAGTCTCCTTTAGAGGTCTGTGTAGACTTCTGCATTATTTTCAGAACAAAATTCACTAAGACTAGTAATTAGGGAGAGAAGTGAGCTAGGATAGGGTATGTTTTGAAATTTAAGAAATGCAAATATATTGCATTGCTATTACAATTACTGCATTTAAGCTAAAAGTGCTTAGAACAACTTTAATGGGCAAACAGGCATAATTGCTAATCAGTTTATAGACAAATGCATGCTTCTGGAAAACTATGCTTATTTTTAAACATGTCTTTGTCCTCATATCTGTGTTTTGCCTCAAGCTTTTGTATGTAGGTAATTCAACCAGTAAGAGGCTGAGTAGTCTATCACAGCTTCTACTTGGAGTTTTATTGTACTGTCTCCACATTGTTAGGTGTAACCGTCACTCAGCATCAGTAGCAGAAGTGTTGATTCTGTACTAAGCAGGCCAGCACAGTAAGCACAGGGACATGCATCACTTCTTATGCCTAGATGACCCTGAGCATCTAGGCTAATATCCTTATTTTGTAGGTGAAAAAACTTGAAACCTAAGCAGGCTGTTTTTCAGAGGACTTATGACTTGTTAAAGGTAGAATAAGAGTTGGCATTTGGTCTGTTGGTTAGGATGCTGTTCCAGTCAGGCCCCTGTCCAATGTCTGAGTTCTCTGGTTTGGTTCCCAGCCCCAGATGTTGACCTCAGCAAGTGGCAATGGCTCAAGCAATCGGATTGAAGCTACCCTATGTGAGCAAAACGGAACTGAGTTTCTGGTTCTTGGCCTTTGACTTGACCCTGGCCCAGTTGAAGCCCAGCCGTTGTAGGCATTGGGGCAGTAAGCCAGTGAATGGGAGCTCTTTGTCTCTGCTAAATAAATTTTTTAAGAATCATAGCAGTAGTCACTAAACATTCTAAAGGACACTCCAGAAACCTGATCTTATTCTCAAGTTCTTCAGCCTAGTAAAGCCTAGTAAGGGAAAGATCGATCTCAGGCATGACTCGTACGTGCAGGATGAGCTTAACAACCCTCTCCCTCTACCTTCAAAACTTATTTCCTGATAATTAAAAATAACTTGTCTGCCAGAGACCAATAGGAAAGAATGGATGTGTGGGCCCTATGGTCCAGCAGGTTAAACTGCAGCTTGGTATATTCATACCCCTTGGCCAATCCAGCTTCCTGCTCATGTGCCTGGGAGGCAGCAGTGGATTGTCCAAGCACCTGTGTGTCTGCTCACGTGGGAGACTAAGATGGGGTCACAGGCTCTTGGCTTTTGCCTGGACCAGCCTCAGCAGTTGTGGCCGTTTGAGAGTGAAGTAGCAGATGCAAGATTTCCCTTGCCCTCTCAGTGTCCCTGTTTGTCAGTAGATCAATCAATTTTAAGGAGAATGGGTTTTAATAGTTAATGTGTCTACTTCTAAGATGTTGAGAAAGAAGCAGCTTAGCTGAGTGATTTGATGGTGAAGGGCTTCATATAGAATGCTGTGTAGACACTTAGGATTTCTGCCATTTGAGTTTTGGGGATAAAATTATGGTAATGGCGATACTAATAGTAGAACTAAATGCTGTGTTATTGGAATTGCCATTAAGAAGAGTGACTGTAATGCTAACCAGAAAATTAGTGCAGATCAATATTTTAACCTCATCATGTTTGTGCCTTTGGGAGAACACCATCGACCTCCCTTTTTATATCTTAATAGAGAAGAGTTGAGGACTAATAAACTTTTTGTTTTTTTCAACTCAGCCTTGGCAAATGCAACATTATGTGTTCTTGAACCTATTATGTCTGTGGAAGTTGTAGCTCCAAATGAGTTTCAGGGAGCAGTGATTGCAGGAATTAACCGGCGCCACGGAGTGATCACGGGCCAGGACGGCGTCGAGGACTTCTTTACACTCTATGCGGACGTAAGTCCATTGCTCATTCGCAACCTTTTATTGATGACAGAAGACAATTAGGATCAGCTTCTGATTTTGAAGATTGTAGAACAAACTGACACGATTCCTTTTTGAATTTGTGGCTTTCATACATAGAGGAGTGTGTGTGTGTGTGTGTGTGTGTGTGGCATTTGCTGTTAGAACCACTCTTAAATGTATAAACTAAAAATAAGATCTTGCCCTTTTGTGAATTTCATTTTCTTTGATGTAATCTTTCTCAGTTTTATTTGCATGGCTGCTTCATTATGTTCCGCTGGGATAGTATTTAATTTCCTTGCTCTGTACCTTTCTGGACTTAATTCTCATGGCAGAAGGGCCTCCTGGGTGACACTGTCACACGTGAAGGTGTCAAAGGAAGCTGTCTTTAACACCTTCACGGAAGAGCCAGTTCTGAGGGCTTGAGCTGGGCCCCGAGCGGTGCTGATGGGGACAGCCTCTCTGGCCGCGGGGTCCACTTGGCAACTTGGTGAGTTGGCTTCCAGTTGGGTGAAATGAAGTAACTTTCAGGTGGACTTTCTAGTTGCAATAGGACAAAAATGTTTGTTTAATTGTAATTGTTTCAAACCAAGGGCAGTGACTAGAAATCCAAATCTAAAGGAATCAAATGACTAACATGATTAAAACATCTTTCTATTTTTCTTAAATATTTTTCAGTAGACAGTTCTCAACTATATGTTGTGTTTGTTTTCAGGTTCCTCTAAATGATATGTTTGGTTATTCCACTGAGCTCAGGTCGTGCACGGAGGTAAGCCAGTGTTTTAGCTTCAGCATGACAGTCTTCAGAGCTTTCCACATGTTCAGACTTGTGCAGTCCTGACTCTCATGCCTTTGACAGCCATACCAAATACACACATGTGCTCACGCACACACACATCCATGTGTATGTACATACTTTTGTTTCTCCTTGTAGGGAAAGGGCGAGTACACGATGGAGTACAGCAGGTACCAGCCCTGCTCACCGTCCACACAAGAAGACATCGTCAATAAGTACTTGGAAGCTACAGGTCAACTTCCTGTAAAAAAAGGAAAAGCTAAGAACTGACTCTCCTCACCTCACTGAACGTACAGTGGTTAGACACTTTGAAGGATTCCACTGGGATGGATTCAGGCTGCTGAAACAATTTAGAAGCTCTTTTAATTTTATATTCAGGTGCTTCTGTTATATTCAAAGTTAATTATATATATATATATATTCCTATTAATTGGTTTTAATCCTCAAATGGTTACTCAAGTATTTTAGTATTAAGGTATATAAAGAAACTAATGTCATATTTAAGCTTAGAATGATTGTTTAGGGTAAGAATTTCCAGCAAACAGCAAAGCTGGAAGGTAATGCTCACAGCAGTCACCCATCTTCCATCTAGTTCCGACAGTGACCACATTGGCAGCAGTTTGGCTTGTGCGTGTGTGGTCTGTGTCTCATATCTCTAGTTTTGATTTTTAAATAGTTTGCTCAAGACTTGAAGCTGAACTGCATAAATTACATTTGGGATTTTTTTAATGGGCAGGTTTTTCTGTTTTAAGGTCCATACACTCTTTTTTTTTAAAGATTTATTTTTATTAAAGGTCCATACACTCTTAAAACAGAAATCATCATCATCAGATTCTTGATTGTGATACTAAAATATTAAGTTTTAGTTGGTTATGTGTGACTCATTGCCTCAATTTGTGATTTCCACAAATTTGAATTGCCTCTGTTTTAGGAGTGTAAATATGACTACTTCTGTGGTCCTACAGAAGGGAGCAAATAGGTTCTTGCATGTTTGATTCTTAATTTTTGTTCTTAATGTTTACAGTGCTTGATAATAAAGTATAATTCATGAGATTAATGCATGGTTCCATTCGCTTAGTACTAGTTAGATTTGAATCTGTTCTATTTGATTATACTTGTATATTACATTCTTTGGAATTGTGAAACAGTAAATCATAAGTTTCTGTTTCCGCTGTAAAGTAGATTTTCCTGGGTATTTCTACCGTACTTTTCAGAATTGCTTCATGCACAAATCATTGCTACCACAGATACCTCCACTCCTTCCTCCTGCTGGATAATAGGAATAAAATAGCTGCGGTAGGTAAGAAATAAAACAATTGATTTAAAATTTCTGTGGGTTTCTTGATTTATAAATTTGGTTTTATAACTTTAAGGTTTCCACAGATTTTCTTTTGTTAATTACTGGTTCCATGTTTTCAATTTCTCTGCCAAGTAACTTAAATGTATTCCTTAGTTTTTCAACCCTGGAGACTACATACTATGATTTCCATTTTGTAGCAGAATAGACAAATGCAGAGAAAGCCAATTTTTCAGGACCACACACTCACCATTTTTAAATTAATACTTTATAATAGGTCCCTAAATACCGCATGGACACATCTGTCACTGTCATGGTGGTAATACTAAAGCAGTGGTTTCTCTGGCATTTCATCAGCATCTTGAACTATTCTTTATGAGGAAATGCTTTCATTGTACTTAGCAGCTTCTTAGCCATTGAAAAGGCAGAAACATTGGTCCTAAGATTGGTAACTTTGAACATGTTTTTAATTTGTTAAATGTTCCTAGAATAAAGTTATTGTGCCAGAAAAAAGTCCTACATACTTGGTCAATACTAGCACTTCATACGCAGTGGGAGCAGCTGGAATTACATCTTAGAACCCACACATGTATGTAGTTAGAGTTGGTAAACACTGTGGACTCGTGTCTGCAGTGTGGGAAAAACTCAGGACTATTCATAAGTGAGTATTTTTGAGTAGTTCTGTACAGGGTAATTGGTGATTTGAAGAGTGTTGCTTGCGGAGTGGTGACAGATGTGGCAGGACTGCACTGCTTCCCAGTCTGCCTGCATTTGAAAAGTCACCTTAGGCGCAAAAAGTGGTCGTCAGGGCTCCCCCAGATAACTCTAATCCAGGGGCATTTTCCATGGCCGTTCAAATGATGTTCTGATGTAGTGAGAAATGTTGTTGTCTTCATACTTACAAATCAGTGTTGGATGGCCCTTTCTAAGCTGTTACCATGAGGTAAGTCTATTACAGGGCACCCCCAGGCTCCTGACCTGGCCTGGCATTATGGCTCAGTGTCGCTTGGGTCGCCCACATCCCCACGCTGAAACGGCAGTCAAGCTCTGGCTCCTCGATCCTCATCCTGCTCGCTGCTCTGTTCCTGGCAAGGCAGCAGTGACGGCTCTGGACTGGGGTCCCTGCCAGCCCTGGAGGAGAGGCAGGTGGAGTTGCAGGCTCCTGGCTTTGGCCTGTCCCAGCCCAAAACCTCACTTGGTTGAATTGTTCTCATGTGTGTACCTAATTTCACTAATGAAAAATGTGTTTGTGAGGTTCTGGACTTCGAGAAGGCCAGGTCTGGAAGGCTGGGTTGCCAAAAAGGCCGTTTTCTGGTCTTTAATGTGGTACCAAGTGGTCAGTAAAGATCGCCTGGCATTGAACATGCTATCATAATGTTCCTGTGAGATTTCTTGCAGATCACTTAGGGAAACTTCGGCTGGAGGAGTTCCTTCTTGGACTGTGGCACACTTAAATCACTTCGACTCCCTGTGCCCTGATCACTATTTTTGATACTTTAGAATTCTCTTTTCACATGGTGGGAGAGCTGATGTTTCCCTTAAATAACTGAAGCAAGTGTAAGTTGGGAAGATAAATGCAGAGCGTTGGAGCTTTAAATAGAAGAACAGACTTCTATCCTTACTTCTATTCTGTAAGAACCTATGCATAAAACTATTGGACTAACTATCAAATAGTATGAAGTTTAAAATAATACATATTTTGGAATATTTAAAGCTGGTACTTGCTGGTCAGTTAACTGGTCAAGGAGTCCAGACTTGAGAGGAGGTGATGTCTGAGTTCTCGCCCTGACGGGGAACTCCTGAATTCGACTTCGGTACGTACTGTGATTTTATGAGTCACCTAAGCCAGTACTGCGTCACTAAAAAATAAATATTCTGTATTCAATTATATCAGCATTCCTTTTAAGGCATGTTTGCAGATAGCTTTATCTGTTTAGATTATGTATACTTGTAAAATTTAAATCCAGCAGTGTAAGATTTAATTCCAATTTGCCTATGTGTACAAAGCTCTGCAGACATTTAACCATATATTGAAAAACGGATATCAACTTATAAAGGAATACTTGTATGAAATACAGTAAAACTCCTTTCAAATGGTATTTTTCCACAATTTACTTTCACTGAAACTTTTTTTCACAAAGGATAAAATGTATTCTTTGTTTACATACTACATAAATGCATTTTAGTAACAAAGTAGTTCACTGTAAGCTGTATTCAAAGTGATATAAATTTCAGGTTCAGAGTCAGCTCATTGCAGCACGGGCGGCCACTGGCTGCTCTCCAGGGCTGCACGCGGAGGAAGCTGCTGCCAGCGGTCAGCACTGCGCAGAGGTCAGAGGTCAGTATGCACGTGCTGCCCGAGCTCAGAACTACAGCAGACCCGTTAAACCAAACCCCAGCAGGTTTCAGTTTGAGCTTTTGCTTGTAATTACTGGCTGTCTCAATTTACTGCAATGCCTTTACTTTGACTCTTGTACTAGAACTACAGTGGGGCTTGCGGAACTATCTAGAGTCATTTGGTTTAGCATCTAGGAGCAGATCCTAGTTTGCGTTTTAGAAGCTGCTGAGCTGTGTTGGTGCCACAGCCGATCCTTCTTCAGTTCCAGATCCTTCTGGGAGCTGGAGCTCTTGACAGTTGTAGTTCACTCGGAGTGGTTTCCCAGGGGACCAGACCAAGTGGATATGACACGGAATGATCTCCTAGGAAATAAGAATGAAGAGTTATAAAATGCAAAAACCTGTGGCTAAAAACAGTTCTACATAAAATTTTGCATTTTACCTGTGTTGAGAATTCATGAAGTAGGACAGTATAATCGAAATCAATTGCACCGTCATTTGTTTTCTAGAGGAAAAAAAAGTATGATGGATTTGTTAGAATTTGGAGGGTTTCTGTCCTGAACATTCCTGTTTTGCATCTTGTGCTTCCGTTTAGATTTCGGCTTCACTTTGGTTGTCTTACGTCAAGGTGTGGCAGACACGCTCTGTCCCCCCTTTTGTCGGTTACCTGCAAGTCGGGTTAAATGCTGCGTTTCCTCTCGAGTAGTTGCAACTTTTGATGGAGGCAGGAATGGTGGAATCTTTCAGGGATTCAGACAGTGTCTACATAGCCTCAGTCTATTACATTAACCTAGGTATACCAGGCAGTAAGACCGAGGCAGGGGCAGTCGGCATTTCCAGAATACCTACACTGGGCCAGCTTCTCCGGGGGGTCCTTCACACAGTCTCGTGAGCCTGGTTTGACAGGAGAGGACTTGAGGTTAACAGCTCTCCCGACTCCAGCCAGGCTGTATGAAGCGGCACCGGTTTCCACACTGCAGACAAGCAGCACCCTCAGCCCTTCACCTGCTGGAGTTCAAGGACTTCTGTGAGTACCTTCATTTCCTTCCTTTTGTTCAGGGCAAGGGTACTTCTTCTACTACTAAAGGGATTTTTAGAAAGAGGCCTAAAAACATGAAATTTCCTGTAGGTGAGGAGAGTGTGGGAGATGGCAGAGACAAAGAACAGGACTGGATTAATCAGAAATTGATGGTTTCTTGTGGCCGCCTCTTTGCTCATTGAGTACGTTTCTTAGCTGCCTGGCAGTTTTCTGAGAGCGTATCAAGCCATGGCCCAAGGTCCAGGCTCTGAAGTCAGTTTACAGGAACTTTTTCAGAGGACAGAGTGCAGAATTCTAATCACAGTTGGCCTTACAGATCGTGAGTTCTAAATCTGTAGATTTAACTAGGTGTATTCACAAAGAAATCTGGCCCTGTACTTGACATGCAAGACTGGCTGTTCCTCAATAGACCAGCTGCTTACACAGCAGTGATACTGCATTAGGTATTTTAATGAACCTAGATATGATTAACAGAGGATATGCATGAATTATATGCGGATACTGTGCCATGTTACATAAGGGTTTTGAATATCTGGCATTGCTGCTGGGGGTGTTTAGCTTTGGCTCACCCTGTTTGATCAGCTTGCCCCCAGATGGTCCATGCTAGTCGGCTGTTGTGATATGGTTATCTCGAGCTTCGCGTTGCTCCTCAGGCATGTCTACCCTGTATGTTTGTGAAATTTTTATTTACCTAAATTATTTCATAAGATGAAGCTGCCTTATTTGGTATATGTGCCTTTGCTTGAAAGGCTGAGTGACAGGTCCTCCGTCGTTGCCCACAACAGCCAGCCTGGGTCAGAACTCAACCCTGATCTGCCCCAGGGGTGGCAGAAGCTGAGCACTTGGGACGGGAAGTGTTAGTTGTCAGGTGCAATATGGAATGCAGGTGGTCCAGCACCCAGCCCTTTCTTGTCTTTAAAACAAGCATTTTTAAAGGAAATCAATGCTCTCCAGTTTCCAGGAAGAAAAGGTTTGAAACAAATGGTAGGACTCCAGGTCCAGTTCCATTGCTGAGTGTTTTAATACAAAAACTTTGCCTTACCAGTTTTTGAAACATCCTCCTGTTAGTTCTTCCTCCTCCTCCGAAGTGCCCTTAGGTCAAACCAGAAAGCACACTCGTGGCGGAACTGCACATGAGGCTGTCACACACCCTGGCCTGGCGCAGTAGCCCAAGGCAGGCTCTGCCAGGAAGTCATTATTTTTAGTATTCATAAATCAATCTATTTGGCTTATATTCAAATCATCATAAATGCCAGATCTCTGATTCCAAGCTGCTGATTCATGCCGACATTCCCCGCCTGGTAACGCAGCATCTCAACCTTCCTGCAGACAGAAGGGGTTGTTTGTTCCTGTCTACTGTGGCCTAAGCTACCTATTGCCTCATCTCCCCCACAGTGCTCCTGATGCCCCCACAGGATCCTTAGCAGGACCAATGTGGCTTTAATCGAGAATAAGTAGGTTTAAATTATTAATATTAGCTATACCAAAATATTTTTTAGCAGAATTGATAGCGCAAGCAGACAGTTTCTGTAATGTACCTCTGGCTAATGGAAGCCTCTGGTTAGGATAAGGCCGTGAAGCAGACGGATAATGGTGTGCTGCTGGTTAGGGTGTCTACAGAATCTGCTCTGACAAGAGTTAGAACAACGCTCAGGTTTTTTCCACCTTCTATTCCAGTGGGTGCAGGGAGGTTCTCTCCTGCTTTCTCCCAACCTGGCATATGTCCCTTGTCCTCCGTGTAGTCCACATGGCATGGCTGCAGGAGCTCGGTGTGCTGGCGAGGCACTGGTGACTGCCCACCCTCTGCAGGTCTTGTTCATTTGGGCCCCACCCTCCCCAGGAAGTTTTTGAAGAAACGGTAACCCTTGCACTCCTCTTGGGCCACGAGCACCTGCAGTCCCTCCCCACCGTTGCCCTGTTGCATTTATGCCTATGGCTCTTACTCAAACTGTTTAAAAACCACTGCTTTGCTTATTGGCTGTGCTATTCTAAACGGAGGTAGGACTTATCAGTAGCCATTGAAGAGCAGATTTTGAAAAGCTTTGTGGATATGGACGTAAGTGAACTTTTCCTTACAGAACCCTAAGTTGAAATTGCATATCAAGCCACAAAACCAAATCTCCTCATTGGTTCCAGTGGTTCAGATGCATTTCAACTGAGTTTCAATGGATTCTGCTAGTTTGTTAGTCCTCATTTAATAGGCTGAGGATGAAGCCGTTTGTGTTGATCGTTATTTATCTAAGTTCCACAGAGTAAAAAAAAAAAAAAAAAAAAAAAAAACCTAAAACTCCTCTAATTAGGGACCTTCTTGCCTGTGCCTTTTTGACTACATCACCCTGAAATCCTTACTTTGCTGTTTGCAGGCTGGTTAAGAGATAGCAACAGACATAACGGCCGTCAGTGACCGGCTAAAGTGTTCCTGCTGAGCCTGGGGGTGCGACCTGGTGACATGCCTTGTCAGCTACTAAAGGAAGCAGGTTAAAGGAAAACGGGTCCTGATCCCTTTTCCCTCATGAGTGTACTGCTCTGTTCCCACTGACTCTCCCTCTCCTGTCATTACAGTTCTCAATTACCTGGACTCCAGCCTCTACACTCTAAACATACGTTCCTCCCAACTTCTTGGTTATGTAAACATCCCTTGTTGATGTGTTGGTGGTGCTGGGAGAGACAGTTGTATTAGCAATAGAACCAGTACTGGAGCCTAGACTGATTTCTATCAGAGTGTTCTAGAAAGGAGAACAAAGGTTTCTTCTTGTTTTTAACCCACCATCTGCAGAGTCCAGCCAGCAGCCCGAGCGCTCCACTCCTCCCGAGCTCCAGCTCAGATCATCCCGAATCCAGCGCCAGCCTAAACCCAGCTGCTAGCTGGAAGGACCTAGCCCAAGCTCTTCCACCATCTCCGAGCGTCCCCAGTCCCTTCCCACCACTATGTGTTTGAAGCATTAGGCCAGAGGACGATGTGTTCACTGCACTGTAAGTCGTATGAGCCATTGGGTCGGGGAAGGTACTCCCACTGTGCCGTGTGTCCACCTGGGTCAGCTGTGACGTTGGGCTGTCTCTTTACGTCACCTACTTGGTGCCCATATCTACACAGCAGGGAGAGTGGTCCTCTGGATTGATGCCTGTACAGCCCAATGGGGCCCAAGGGGCTGCCTGGCACTCCCCACCCTGCTACCAGCGCTGCCCCCTCCTCCTCACTGTGGGCTGATGACCTGCTGCCACCTCTGAGGAGACATGGGACAGCCGGAACTTCCCCAAGCTTCTCCATGACATGTGCCCTTCTACCAGAGATCGGGCTGCTGGCCCGTGCTGGCCTCCCAGGGGAACCCTCTGCAGGTTAACCAGATCCTGTCTTGCCTCCTCAAGGATCTCAACTCCAACTTCCCATTCTCTTTCCTGGAATCCCTACCTCACTCGCCTCTGGGTCTTTCTCAATGTGCTGTTACGTCTGCTAACTTAAAAAAATGCATCTTTCAGTGCCTGCCCACCTGTGCTTCAGCCATGGTCACTGTGCTTTGTAGCTAGGCTCCCTGAAGAAATGGAGCATCCACTCCTTGCATCCTCTCTCGGCCTGGTCCCTGCAGGATTTGGTGTTGACTTCCAGCTGCTGAATCAAATCAGTTCTCAGACTTCATCTTGGTTCATCTTTGAAATACTTTGCTGCCCCATCTCCAGCTCCACACAGAAATATTTTATTGTGCCTTTCTCACATAGCTATCTGTAGCTTTAACTGCCATTCATACGGTGATGACTCCAGCCCAGGCCTCTCCCCTAGGTCCAGAAAACCAAACCGATTCTGTTTGGTTAACTCTGTCTCAAGTCTGTCTCTCCTAAAGTCTTTCCCAGTCAGCAACTGGTAACCGTCCTTCCAGTTATTCAGGCTGAAATCTTAGGGCCTGACCCAGAAGTAAGTAACACCATTACTAGAATCCGAGCGGTTCTCCCTGCCTGCCTTGCCACCCCACATGGCCTACCTGGATTTCTGCAATGCTGTATTATCGCTTGCCAGCATTTGTCACCCTTTGGTCTGTTTCATACATGGATGCCAAGGTGATATGATTCTAAGCCAGATGGTGTCACTCCTTTGCTAAAAACCTTCTACTGACAGAAGAGTGAAAGACGGGACAGTCCTGCTGGCCTGCGAGGCCTCACATGGACTCCCCTCTCCACGTGCACCCCGTTTGTTCTTCCCTCCTGGCACCCTCCTGGCACCTGCCCTTGCTCTCACTGTACCGGCCTTGCTGCTGCCCACTTTCTTCTACCCAAGCTTCTCCTCCCTTATGGGGGCAGGGCCCACTGTCACTGCCGTCCACGGTAGCCTTACCACACTGCAGCAGTAACTTCTGTCCACACCCTGCATCTCCACTTCCTCCCTGTCACCTGCCACCATTTCATTCTGTGTTCAGTGAGGGCTTTACATTCATCGTTACCCCTCAGTTCCTAAAGCAACGCCTGGCCCATGGCAGGTACCCAGATATTTGTTGACTGAATGAAATGCAATTAGGACTGTTGCCATGAAATTAGAAACCCACATTAGCTCAATCAAAGGTCGCTGCACTGTGTCTATCTCCTCGGCCAAGCTAATTTTTCGTGTTCTTACCCACTGCTTCACAGCACTGAGCTGTGCGAGGTTGTAGTGTGAGGACTGAGTTGTCTTTTCCCACATCACATACGAGCTGCCAAGAAAAGCCAGGTCCCACATGGGTCTCAGGGAAGGGTCGATATTTCCATGACTGTCTAAGGGGAAGGAAAAAAGCACATTGGTTAGTATGAAGGCATTTTTGAAGGACAAAAGGTCGGAAGTTTTAGTAATAGTCTAAACTTAATCCCTCTCCCAGGAGCTGGAAGCAGATGTGCTTGGTTCGAGCGGATCGCCGTGCTGAATGCTCCGTTAGCTGAGCAGTGACCTTTCCCGTGGCACCTCCTGACCTTGGTCTCCAGGCGGGGCCTTGGTCCTTCCTGCTCCAGTGACAGCCGCCAGAGCTCATCGCTGTTAGCATCTCGCCCTGGTTCTCAACACTGAGCAGGTGGATTCTGTGACATTGTTTTTGGACCTGAAATCTTAATTCAGCACATGTCTTTTGAAACCTACTTAATGTTGGACATTACTGAAGGTAGATGTTGATCAGTAAATTACATTTCGTAACTTTTAGGAACTCAAATTTTAGAAGTAATTTCTAAGAATTGTTCATGGGCTATTTTATACCATCTGCTCAAGATACGCTCAGTCTGTTAAGGCCATTAGCACAATAGAGAGGAATAACAAGCCTCTTAGGGCAGTTTCCAGCCAAACTCTAGGAACAGTAATGCTGTGAAACCTTTAACGTAAACAAGTTTGACTGTGTATTAAATACAGAGTCAGGAAAGTCTGGGGATAGATGATGCCAGATACAAACAACTGAGAAGGCTAAGGAGCAAGACAGACCGTAGGGCTTGGTGGTCGAGGTCGTCCCTGATGGCCCAAGACACAGCACCTGCAGTGTGTGCACAGCTCAGAAGCCAGAGCGTGAGGCAGGCAGTGTTACGGGGAACGGACAGAGAAAGGAGGCGTGGGGATGACGCCATGGAGCGGCTGGTTCAGAGTCCTGACAAGCAGCTTGCCGACACAGAGCTGAGGACAGGGAAGGTGCCAGAGCACCTAGAATCAAGGGGTAAAGGAGAGAACTGAGGGGGACAGAGGAGGAAGCAGCTGCGTGAGGCCCGAGGCCGGACGCCGAGTCAGCCAGATGTGCTCTGGATTGCAGAAAGGAAGTGCTTCTACCGGAGGCTGAACAAACCCTGCCGTAACAACCCCACTCGTGTTTCCTGGGCAGAGGACTCAGGTGAGCCGAGAACTGCTGTGAGCATGGAGCAGTGTTCCCCCTCCTGGCCCTCCAGAACACTCACTCAGTCTCGGGAAGTGAGCAGGAGGGCTCGGGAAGGGAGACCGAGGGCCCCTCATGTGACAAGTTTGTCGAGGTACCTGGCTGAATCCCAGTGAACGGTGGGGCCAGAGGGCTGTGGCAGATGTCAAGCGTAACACTCAAGTGTGTGTTCCCAAGATAGCTTCTGTGGGCTGGGCAATTGAATTTGCCAGTAAGTGCCGCATCTCTGCTGCTGCCCACACACCCTGAGTGCCCGCCTGAGCAAATGAGCTTCACTCCAGCTGAGTCACTTCAGAGGGCACCACGTCCCTCCGAGGGAGCACTGCTGCCCATTAGCCCCTGGCCTGGGACGAGGTGAACAGGATGCCCGCTGAGGCAGAGCCCTGAGCCACTCGGCTGGGAGGGCAGTGGGGAGGCACTGGAAGGCAAAGCCACCCCCCAGAAACCTCTGCAAATGCCACTTCTGGTTAGATTCAGACTCGACATTGCCCCCAGCCTGCACTGTGCACATTTCCTGCTGCGAACACCCTTTGCCCACTGGCAGGCCGTGCTTGGGTGCCCACCATCTGGGCATCGGGCAGTGCTAGGTGGGAGACTGGTGTGCTCGAGCTGCAGGACAGGCACTGGACACGCATGCTTGGCCTGGATCGAGTGCCACCTTGGAGGGAGACCTGCAGTAGCATCATGCCGAGAGTAATTGTAGACAACTCTTACCAGGTATGCTGACCACGTCCAAGGGGCTTTTAAGCTGCTGCATTTGCTTGTAAAGCAGGTAATCCTCTTGTTGTCTTGTCTTTTTTTCAGTGAGCCGAATGCAAGTTACATTAATGGCTGGTCTGGGTTTCTGATTCTTGAAAAACACTCGAGCGGAACATTTCCCCAGACGTTCCTCCCCCTCCTGAAATAAAAATTTTGAAATTAATATCACTGATGTCTGTGGCTCACACCCCGAGCTGTATTGGAAACCGAGATAATGCACAGTTGGTCCTCAAAGTCTACAATGGAACGGAAAGATGCAGCTGTCCCTTAACAGTTAAACTCACGTCTTCATGTTGCCTTGAAATGGTTCTGTAATTTTTTTAAAGACTTATTTTTATTGGAAAGGCAGCTTTACAGAGGGAAGGAGAAAGATCTTCCGTCCGCTGGTTCACTCCCCACGTGCCTGCAACAGCTGGAATTGAACTGATCAGGAGCTTCTTCTGGCTCTCCCAGGCAGGTGCAGGGTGCCAAGGCTAAGGGTCGTCCTCTGCTTTCCCAAGCCACAAGCAGGGAGCTAGGAACAGCCAAGACAAACTGCTGCCGATATGGGATCTTAGTACATGCAAGTACAGAATAGTCACTGAACCCTCATGCCAGGCCCTCTCAAAGATTAAGATTCTGAAGTTGGGGGTGGCACAGTGGTGTAGCAAGCTAATCTTATGCCTGCTGGTGCTGGTATCCAATATGGGTGCTGGTTTGTGCCTTGGCTGCTCTACTTCCTGCCTAACTTTCTGCTTACGGACTGGGAAAGCAGCAGAAGGCTCAAATCCTTGGGCCCATGTATCCATGTGAGACCTGGAAGAAGCTCCTGGCTTCAGATCAGCCCAGTTCTGGCCTTTGTGGCCGTCTGGGGAGTGAGCCAGCAGATGGAAAACCTTTTCTGTCTCTCCATCCCTCCGTCATCTTTCGAGTAAGAACATTTTTTAAAATGTAAGATTGAAGTTTACAAGGCAGTGTTCTGTGTCACAGCTTGTAAGTGGCAAGCTAGCACTACAACTCTCCTCCGGCGCCAAACCCCAGCCTCTGCACCAAGTCGTGTGTGCTGAGGTGCAGATCATGCAGATGAGGTACTCTGTCCGAGGAATCTGCAGTCGTTCCAAGGCAGGAAGACTGGCCATTCGATCACTTATTTTCCAGTCCAGGGACTCTGTCTGCAGCCTCAGCTGGACTCATTTCTGAGGCAGCATGTCACCTGCATAGGTCAGACTCTTCAACCCCACAAGGAATACCAAGGATTCTGGTCCCAGGAACGATCCACTTCCCCCCATGCCATCAGCAGTAGGCTTAGTTTGTGGAAAGGTCACGGCTCCCTAGTCAAGGCCTTCTCTGACCATCCATGGGCCCCGCGGAATTCCAGTTACAAGGTGATCAATGGAACAGCTAACGGTTCAGCTGGGTGGCTTCCCAGATAAAGCCATCAGTAACCTGAACTAGGAGGGTGGAGGGGCCAGTGGCGCATTCAGATGAGGAATCCATGTTCCTCATGCAAGAAAGGTGAAGGAAAGGGCATGGCAAAGGTGCAGCGGGGACAGGGTCCTGTCCCCACCTCTGACATGGAAGCCATTTCTAGGAGAGAGAACCAAGTATTCTGTTTCCCTTCTCTTTCTCTCCCCCCAAACACCTGCACGGATCACAGCAGCTGGCCCAAGGTGAAAGCCTGCTCCTCCTGCCCGGGAGCCGTCACCAGGGGCTCGTGCCCGGCTCAGAAGCCTCCTCCTTGGGCTTCATGAAAGCTTAAGCTCTGAGCTTAGCAAACAAACCAGGGTACCTTGCTGCTGAGACTCATTTTTGAACGGCCACTCCGAGAGGCACTGGGCTGGGGGACTTGCACCTGCAGCTCTGAAGCTCTGCCACATGGAGACACTTAGCTGCCAGGTGCTGCCCGCTCACCCTGCCTGCTCTGAGTGTGCACAACATGGAAAACACGAGCTGTTTTTCTCCCCCTTCCCTGTGCCCTGCTTGCTGCCTCCAGCTTGGTCAGCACATGGAAGTCCACCTGGCTCTAGTGACCACATGGGTTTATTTACTTTCTTCTCAAGAACAGGGAAAAGGAAGCTTGACACGATGTGACATGACTTCCGCAGTGAGACCTGCAGAGGCTCGTGGCCCGACCGCCTGCTCACCCAGATGGCACCAGCTGGCTGAGGACCAGAAGCTGGTGCTTGGCATCTGGGAGTGAGGCATGCTCAAGACTGTGGTGCTAAGTGGATACCAACTGGAGTTGGGAACTTCTCTTCCAGGTGCCTAGTGGTGTGGACCGTTTTAAGTGCAACCCTGCCTAAGGCCGTGAGGTTAGTCATTAAATCTTGACCTCTTTGTTTTCTGGAATTACAAGGCAGAGGTGGGCACCAGGGAGTACAATGCTGAGTCTGCACCTGTGGTGCCAGCACTGCTTAGACACATTTGAGTCGCGGCTGTTCCACTTCTGATCCAGCTCCCTGCTAAAAGCCCAAGAAAGCAACAGAAGATGGCCCAAGTATTTGAGCCACTGTACCCACTTGGGAGACCCAGAAAAGGTTCCGGGCTCCTGGCTGGAGAGTGGCCCAGCCCCAGCTGTTGTGGCCATTTGGGAGTGAACCAGCGGGTGGAAGCTGCTGCCTATCTCCTTCTCTCCCTAGAAGTTAGTCTTTCAAATATTTAAAATTATGAAAAGAAAAACTAGAGAACAAAGCAAGGCAAAATCAGAGGGAAAAGCAACACTAACAACATCCACATCAAAGAGTATACACACACACACACAGAGACACGCACCCCAACAGGCTGCCCGGCTGGCAGGTGCTCACCTGTGGATTGTAGCGCTCTGTGCTGAACACCAGCTCCACCTTACAGCCCTTCTCTGGGTTCACCTGAAAAGCAAACAGTGGACCTTATTAGCAAAGTGGATGCTCCCCAGTACCTCCACAGCCAAGCATCGTAGTCTTGGAATTACAGGGCTTGAATCTGTCCCTGCTGCCATGTATCCCTGGGTAGAACTTATGGTGTTTGAGGGTTTCCAACCTGAGTCTTAATTCCAGAGTTCCTGTGAGTTTCACACCTCTTCACAAAGTAGGAGGCTGAAAAAGAATCATTTCTGTTCAAGCTGGGAAATGTGTGCTACACCAGAGACCTGTGTGTGCAGGGACCTGGAGTGTACTCATCTCCCCATGCTCAACTCCAGCGGCAGAGGAGTGCAGCCAAACCCGCCTGGGATCTGGCCCAGCCGCACAGCGCAGGAGCTGCCAGGCAGTCAGCAGGCGGACGTCCAGCACTGGGGTCAGGATGGCCCCCCACCTTACCCCGCCCCGGTGAGGGGGCAGCTCTCCCTGCCTGGTCTCCTGTATGCCTTTCTTGGGCAGGCACACCTTCACACCCTTGACGCTCACGGGTCACCTTTTTCAACTTTTGATTGGACCTGTTTCAAATGCACACCGTTACTGCACGTCCGTGCTTATTGGAGCAGTTGAAACGGTTTGGAAGAACTGTTGTCTGCCATCAACCTTTTTGTTGAAAGAAAAACGGTCATGTGATAAAAAGTATTTTTGAAGAAGGGAGCACTTCTGTTTATGGAGCTGAAGTTTATTTCGTGTAATCTTGATTCAACTCCGGAAACATCTGTTTCCTTTGAATTTTAGTGCAGGAACCACAGTAACCAAACAGGGTCATCTTATTTTAATTAGGCCAGATATCATCCACTCCCATTACGGATTCTGTCAAAATGCCGGGAAGCTGCAGGCTGGAGCACTGAACTTTGTGGTCTTGGCCCCTGTGGAGAATCGGCATGCCGACGGGTCCCCAGGAGCACCCCGCACCCCACATGCTCATCTTCAGCCGCAGGGGGCCGTGCATCCAGCACCTACTGTCAGGTGCCAGGCCGGACTGACAGGCAGGTGGACAGGCCGTGATGTGGCTGCCAGCTGTGCAAAGGGTGCCGAGATTAAGGCTTGTTTTATTACATCTAAAACATTTTTAGAAAGTAACTTTTACATTTTATTTGCAAAGCAGAAACAGGTCTATTCTGAAGCTGAACGTCTGTCATGCAGAAGCAGGGCCCAGTGTCTTGCTTACCCTTTGTCAGAGAAGCTCATCAACTACAAGGTCCCAGTCACCAAGGAAGCGTTCGCTTCTCCAGCTGGGAACCCTGATGGTCAGTGTTGGGGGTTGGGGGGGTTCGGGCAGAGGAATTCCAGGTCTGGGCAGACTGTAACTACCCTTCGTGTAACCAAGCCAAGGAGCATGACTGGCCATCACGGACTCTAAATGGCACATCACTAGGAACTTGGTGATGCCCCGTTCAGCTCCTGTTTCAATATGTAAGAGCTTTACCCCCTAAGTACCTGGGGGGCCCAGAAATTAAGCTACCTTGCTCTGAGTATCGCAATAAACACCCACTTTCTGCTCCTGCCTTGACGTCGGTGAGTCAGGCGAATGGACCCAGTTTGGAGGCATTGCTATAGAACTCCTAAACAGTTGCGGTATTACTTGGCAATTCCTCAGATGCCCACAATGGGCATGACTAAGCTAAAATTCAGTCCAGAGCCATCTGGTCCACACAGGTGTCAGGGACCCAAGCATCACCTACTGCTTCCTGAGGCACATTAGCAGGAAGTTGGATCAGAAGCCACGCCTGCACTTCAGTGAGTAGGTCTGGGATGTGGGTGTCCCAGGCTGCACTGGAACTGTTCAGCAGGTGAGGCCTGCACTAAGCGAGGCACCAGTGTTAACCAGGCAGGGGACAGGAGTGGACTGGAGCGGCCAGCATCCCCGGATGGGAAAGCGGTAGAAAAGGGGTTGGGGTAAGCAGCACTGAGCCTGGAACTTGACTCTCAAGTCTGGGGAAGTCTCTTCAACCAACTAGGAGATGTTGTGCGGGCAGGGTAAGGCAGTGAGAGGCAGTGCCTAGATTTACTGTGAGTTTGGAGACACGAGGGAGGGGAAGAGCCGAGCTGGAAACCAGGAGGCTGGCCCATGCTCCAGGCCAGGGAAAAACATCATGGAATCCATCAAGCCTTATTTGGTTTGCTCCTGAAACACTGAAAGATGCATGGCAGTGGCTGGCAGCACCCCAGCCTCAGCGTCCTTACTGCCAGCCCATGGCGAACACAGACCTGGTGGGCCTGTATTTTGCCACCCCAAGCCACAATGGCAGTCCCGATGAATGAATACCCAGAGAAGGTGGTGTTCCCACCTGCCAGCAGGCTTCCTGCATGCCCTGGGAAGGCCTGAGTGCAGCCTCTTCCACAGGAGTCAGTGACGCCCTAAGTCTGCTGGGAGGCTAACAGGGCTGCAGTGGGGGAGGCCATCGGCGAGCAGGAGGAAGCCGAGCTGGACAGGCCTGGGGGCAGAGGCTCTCGGGGGTGGGGGGGTGGCCGCAGCCCCCAGGAAGGTTGGAGAATGAGAAGCCTCAGTCTTTGCACCCATGGTAATGGGGCAGGTCATTCACAAAGGCCTGCTTCATCTGGGTCGGATGGCACAGACTAAGTGGCACAGTTAAGATACTGACCAGCTGTGCTTTGGGAACAGGCAAAGCAAGGTGCATGCAATGTTCTCTGTAAGCCAAAGAAACGGAACTGGAAGAACAAGGCTTGGGGCTGAGGCAGCATGGGGCCTGTTTTCCAAAGGGTTTTTTTTTCGCTAATTGGATTTCCTCATTTTGTTGTAACGAGACACTCTTAAAAGTACCCACAGTTCATCCTCTGGTATCAGGATGAGGTCCTTGCATCTCTGGCACAGCCCCCCGCTTCTCCCTCATGTGAGTCACGCATCCTTCAGCTGAGGACCTGCCGTCCTCACGGGTGGTGCCACCTCCCGCTGGGCATATACATGCAGAGGGTAGCCTTTGGGTTCCCCTGAACTCCGGTGTGTGCTGCTGAGGTCTCCATTGGACCCTAGCATCCACTCCAGGACTTAGGGAGCCACTTCTGTGCTCCAAGCACCATAGCAGACACGGGAAATGCAGGCAGCAAGACGTGCCCATCTGCCCTCGGGGCGGTCTGGTGGGCGAACTAGAGGCAGGCCAGCTCTCCTCTGATCATCCTCCCTGGGAAAGGACACCTGGCAGACGGAGCCATGCAGGGATTTAGAAGGAACTGACCCTAGGGGCGTGGAGGGGCTGGCCAGCCATTCTCAGGGCTTGGGGCCTGTGTGGTGGGGAAGGCACAGCCCGTGGGGCCAAAGGCAGCCAGCACAGAGTCAGGATGCAGAGAGGCTGGCCGCGTGGCAAGGTCACTCCTGTGCCTCTGGGGAGGATTCCGCTCCCCTGGAAGTGGGAACCGCGGCCTGAAGGAAGCACCTGAGGAAGCTGTCTCTAGCACCGGGCGGGGCCCAACCAGACGGTCAACTTCAAAATGAACCTGCTATAGATGCTCTGAACTTCGAGTGCCGACTGATCACTGTGCCAAGCGCAGACCAAGCGAGTTACTGACCTCTGCAGTGCCACAGGCCACACCCCCTCCCCATGCATGGGTGTGCCCGGTCCCTGCTGGCATGAGGAAGTGCCCAGAGAGAGCAAGGTGACTGAACGGGGCAGGCCAAGTGGGCAGAGGGAAAGGCTACTAGATGACCCTGTGGCCTACCTGGTGAAGCCACTGCTGGCACCAGCATCCCACACAGGTGCTGGTTTGAGTTCTGGCCACCCCACTTTCCATCCAGCTCACATGCCGAGGAAAGCAGCACAGGAGAGCCCAAGTCCTTGGACCCCTGTGCCATGTGGGTAACCCCGAAAAAGCTTGTGGCTCCTGGCTTCTGCCTGGCCCAATCATCTGAAGGAGTAAGCCAGCACATGGAGATGTTTCCTTCTCTTTCTGTAACTGCCTTTCACATAAATCAATCTTTAATGGTATTTTTAAAAATACCATTAAAAAGAAATTAGATCATTCAAGGCCAGAAGTAATCACAAAACTACATTTCATATTAAGACAGGCAGTGCCCACAGCAGCTCAGGCAGGCCAGACAGCCTGGGATACGGCCATCCCGCACCGGGGGCCTGGGTCAAGGGCCGGCTCTGCACCTGGTCCCAGCTTCTTGCTAACATGAGCCTCGGAGGCAACACGGGAGGACTGAAGGCTGTGGGTTGCCGACACCATGGAGGAGATGAAGATACAACTCCCGGCTTCTGCCCGGACTGGGTCAGGAACTGGGAAGTGAACCAGTGCAAGGAAGATCTCTGTGTCTTTTTCAAATAAAACCAAAAATGAAATCAGATTTGCATACTGCCCAGCGTTATTTCACAGCACAGAAGGACGTGTGTCGACCATCTGCAGCGGCGGTTGCCAGAGGTGGAGCAGAAGTGGGCAGGAAAGAGGCAGGGACCAGGAGTGCCATGCCCACTCCCCTCAGTGCCTGGGGCCCAGGAGCTCACAGGCAGGCTTTCCAGGTGTAAAGCCCTCCCCTGGCCCGCAGGCACTTGACCGGGACATCCCCACCACTATCTTAAACTCAGGTCTCTGTTTTCACAGCTGGTGTGATACGAGCTGAAGAGTACGGCAACCTCCCCAGCACAGCTGGCTCCTCCCGCCTTCCCCACTGGCCTAACCCTGTGACTTGCACATCACGTGGCTCCAGCCACACTTGGCAGAAAAGCCAGTCTGTTACGTTCCAAATCAGTTCCCCCAAAAAGCTGGCGATAGCTTTGCAGCGCTGAATATGCCCCTGTCCCCAGGAAGGGGTCACCAGCCCGCCCACCGCAGCACGTCACTCCGTTCATCTCAGCAGCCGCCAAGCTGCCCGTGTGAAACGTGTCCTTTCCCAAAATGTCACGTCCCTCGCTCGAAGCAGCCAGAGGCGGAGCACACTGGGCTGACGTTTTCCAGGAAAAGGCACTTAGATGAAGAAAAACGAACCTGCGTCTATATAACAACACCGCAAACGA